CTATTATGGTGCCTGTCACATAGTAGATGTTCAATAAATGTTTGTTGATGGAATGAATTATGGGATAGCCAAGTGGAAACTTCGCAAGGAAACTAGAGGTACAGACCTAGTGTGAAGTGGGAGTTGTAGACAAATGATTCAGGATTCAGCAGCATCAAGGGGTCATCCAAAGTCATGATAGATAGCATTTTTTTTTTTTTTTTAGAGATTTTATTTATTTGACAGAGCGAGATACACAGCGAGAGAGAGAACACAAGCAGGGGGAGTGGGAGAGGGAGAAGCAGGCCTCCCACAGAGCAGGGAGCCCGACGTGGGGCTCGATCCCAGGACCCCGGGATCATGACCTGAGCCGAAGGCAGACGCTTAACGACTGAGCCACCCAGGTGCCACCGATAGATAGCATTCTTTCCAAGAAAGTCAATACAGATAAAAATTGCACCCTCTGCTGTTCATTCAACTGTTCCTCGGCCCTCAGGATGCCACAGACAGGTACTGGGAAAAGACTATCTCAAAAGGCTTAAGAAATCCACTACTGAGTTAACAATACTCATTTTCTCATTTGGAGATCAGTGTCTGCAATCCTGTTTTGACAAGAATTTCACCAAGACATAAATACTCCATTTTTGTTAGATGCAAACTTCTAAATAAAATTATACCTACCATTTCCTAAAGTGGGAATAGTGTTTCAACGGGACAATAAACCACAGCTTTGAGGACAAATAAGGGTGAGAATTAATGAAGTTTTCCAAACATCCATGCAAACCTTTAGCTCGGAGTGATGGTTACTATAGTGCAAGGTTGTTTGGTTTCTTTGATCACAACTACTGAGAATCGATGACCTTGTATGTTCTATTATCAAGCTAAATTATGCTCAGAATCTAACTATCTGATTAGCAGAGTTTTACCTGTATTACCAAGTATTACAAACACGTTGGAGATCAGCTAGGCACAATGGTTCTCAAAAGACGCTGTCCTTTGAGACATTTATTCAATATCTGCTTAAGGGGTAACTTGTTAGAAATGCAGATTCTCAGAGCCCATCCCACAACTACTGAACCTCAAACTCCGCACATCGCTCAGGATGTGTTTCTTTTTTTTTTTTTTAAAGATTTTATTTGACAGAGACACAGCGAGAGAGGGAACACAAGCAGGGGGAGTGGGAGAGGGAGAAATAGGCTCCCCGCAGAGCAGGGAGCCCGATGCGGGGCTTGATCCCAGGACCCTGGGATCATGACCTGAGCCGAAGGCAGATGCCCAACGACTGAGCCACCCAGGCGCCCCTCAGGATCTGTTTCAACAAGCCTTCCAGGTGGTTCTGATACTTGCTCCAGTCTGAGAACCACGAAGCCAGAGAAAAATCCAAAGTCCTCAATTCTACCACTAGCTATGAGACCTTAGACAAATCACTTAACCTGTGTGTGCCTAACTTTTCATCTGTCAAGTGGGGATCATATTTGCACTAATTGCCTTAGAGCAATGATGTTCAAATGGGGGGGGGGGAAATGGAAGTGATTTGAAAAAAATGTGTTAACAGTGTAATATTGTAATGAAGATAAAAATTAAAAATGTGGAGGTGCTCTAATACCAAACTACTCAGGGCGTGGTGCTCAGACCCACAGCACTAGATAGAAATACAGACTCTCGGGCCCCATCCCTGACCTCACAAATTAGAATCTGATTTTTAACAAGAGCCTAGGTGATGGAGGTGGGCGAAGGACTGCACAGGTGGAAGCCATTACTTGTACCAGGCAGGTGTGCAGTCATGAGCCAAGCCAGAGGGGGCCCCCTGCTCCACACCTGAGCTTCTCTCAGGGGCCATCTCACGGTTGATCAGATATGTAAACGTCCTGGAAGAGTTCCAACTTTTGGGGCGCCTGGGTGGCTCAGTTGGTTAAGCGACTGCCTTCGGCTCAGGTCATGATCCTGGAGTCCCGGGATCGAGTCCCGCATCGGGCTCCCTGCTCGGCGGGAAGTCTGCTTCTCCCTCTGGCCCTCCCCCTTCTCATGTACTCACTCTCTCATTCTCTCTCTCAAATAAATAAATAAAATCTTGAAAAAAAAAAAAGAGTTCCAACTTTTGAGAATTTAGGGAGATGTCTGTGAAGTTCTACAATAGGGAGACAATTGCTATTAATGAGCTGACTTCTTACCACCTGCCCTCAATTCAAAGATTATAAAAACATGTCAATCATATACTATTTTAGTCACTCCTTTTGTAATTGAACTTCGAACAAAATCATCTCATTGCCTCAGGAATGAACTGGGCCATTTACGGCGGCCACGTAAAGGATCAGATCCTGCAGAAATTTAAGAGGTTACCTTTTTTTATACTTAAAATTATAGGGGTTATCCAGCTTTCAAGTGACTGTTGGAAAGCATAGGTTCCTTTTATCATTTTGTACTAATGAAATAAGGGTTGGAAGAGGAAGATGGGGACTGTTCCCTAATGCAATATTGGGTTGGTTTTTTTTTTTTAAGATTTATTTATTTGAGGGGCACCTGGGTGGCTCAGTTGGTTATGCGACTGCCTTCGGCTCAGGTCATGATCCTGGAGTCCCTGGATCGAGTCCCGCATCGGGCTCCCTGCTCGGCAGGGAGCCTGCTTCTCCCTCTGACCCTCCCCCCTCTCATGTGCTCTCTCTCTCTCATTCTGTCTCAAATAAATAAAATCTTAAAAAAAAAAAAAGATTTATTTATTTGAGAGAGAGAGCCCGAGCACGCGAGCCCGGGGAGTGGAGGTGGGGGGGCGCAGAGAGAGTCTTAAGCAGACTCCGTGCTGAGCGCAGAGCCCAACACAGGGCTCAATCTCATGACCCCGAGATCACGACCCGAGCTGAAACCAAGAGTTGGACACCCAACCAACTGCTCCACCCAGGTGCCCCTCCCTAATGCAATATTCTGAGCTCCCTATTTGCATGTTCAGGTGGCTTTTACGGTCAGGCAAGTTTGGGAAGAAGTACAGCAGTGCCCCCTTATCTCTGGGCGGATGCCGGAAGCCCTGGAGAGTACCGAACCTGATATATACTATGTATTTTCCTAGCACACACACCTATGCGAAAGGTTAATTTAGAAATCAGGCCCAGTAAGACAATAATAACAGCAACAATATGCTGTAATACAAGTTCCGTACATGTAATCTCTCTCAAAATATTGTCCTGTACTCACCCTTCTTCTCGTGATGCAAGGCGATGAAATGCCTGTGTGATGAGATGAAGTGAGGTGAGGGCCGTAGGCGCTGTGACGGAGCGTGAGGCCACTAGTGACCTCCTGACAACTGGTCAGGAGGAGGATCATCTGCCTCCTGGATGCAGCCGACCATGGTCATCGAAACTTCAAAAAGCGAAACCGTGGATACGGTATTCTAGACCCTGGCTCACTAGTTCTCAGCCCTGGCTTTCCACGGAAACCATCCAGGGAGCCTTAAAGAATAAGCACAGGTGCCTGACTTAGTTGGTCTAGACTGGGGCTCGGGCCTGGTGGTCAGCTGCCCCTGTGATTCTGAGTGCAGCCAGCACTGAGGACCCTGATGCCTAACGGGGGTCCCTGAGAGGACTGGGAGAGTTAACCCCTATTATAAAGCCGAACTGTATTGACCCAAAATTCATATGCTGGAGAGCTGAACCCCCAAATGCCTCAAAATGTAACCATTATCTGAATATATGGCCTTTAATTAGGTGAATAAGCTATATTAAAGCCATTAGGGTGGGACCTAATCCAATCTGCCCAGGTAAGTAGAGGAAATTCGGACACATAAAAGTACATGCAAAAAAATGGGGCGCCTGGGTGGCTCAGTTGGTTAAGCGACTGCCTTCGGCTCAGGTCATGATCCTGGAGTCCCTGGATCGAGTCCCGCATCGGGCTCCCTGCTCAGCAGGGAGTCTGCTTCTCCCTCTGACCCTCCTCCCTCTCATGCTCTCTGTCTCTCATTGTCTCTCTCGCAAATAAATAAAATCTTAAAAAAAAAAAAAGTACATGCAAAAAAAAAAAAGGTACATGCAGAGGACACAGCAAGAAGGTGGCCATCTGCAAGCCCAGGAGGTAGCAGAAGGAAATCAAAACTGTGGACACTGAAAAGGACCATGACCTTGGACGTCCCCACCTCCAGGAATGTGGAAAAATAAATTTATGTTGTTTAAGCCAGCCCATCTGTGGTATTTGGTTATAGCAGCCCTAGCAAGCCAACACATTCCCTATCTCAAGCTCAAGGGTTTTTTGTTGTTGTTTTGTTAATTTTTTAAAAAGATTTTATTTATTTGAGAGAGACAGAGCACGAGCCGGGGGCAGGGAGGGGGGGGCAGGCAGAGGGAGAGGGAGAAGCAGACTCCCCACTGAGCAGGGAGCCCAATGCAGGACTTGATCCCAGGACCCCAGGATCATGACCTGAGCCAAAGGCAGACATTTACCCGACTGAGCCACCCAGGCGCCCCTCAAGCCCAAGTTTTAAAAGCATCTTCACATCCAAATGTGTGTGATACCTACAAATTAGATCTTTCTCCTTTGTTTATAGCTCCAGGAGAAGCAGGAGTTGACCCAAACCATGGAGGCAAATGGAGAAGCATTCCAGATATAAGCCCTTAGCATAGGGTAAATAAGCAAAAATGCTACTTACAGAAGGAGTTCATATTTTAGTGGAGAAGCCAATGAAGCACAAAACAGAGTTAAGGTGACACAGGGGGGAAAAAAACCACTTCAAGCATCAATTCAGTGGGCTGCCTTCACTGACCCCACCGACAAGTTAAGTCTCCCCATAGTCCCCTGGGCTTCTCTTTCACAGCATCTATCACAATTACAATTAATTACTATTTAATTATTAATTTCCTGTCTAAATTAATCTGCTAGACAATAAGCACAGGAGAGCACAGACTGTGTCTTGATTTGCTCACCATCTTGTTCATGACTACTTGGCACGTATTTGTTGAATGAATGAATGAACACTACTAGTAACCACTAGCAGGGATAACACCAAAAAAATTAACTCAGTTGATGAAATTTAGTTGATGAAATGAGCTAACGAATAAATAAGTGAACGAAAACGTGAATCGATGACTGAGCATTGATTGGATGCTTGTGTTTCAAACACATGTTAAATGTTGTCAAAATTCAGTTCCAATTACATTTCATGGTAGTGATTACGCAAGAGGGGACTTCTCCCCTGAGTAATTTGGTCAATTCCACCTTTCTGCTGGATGCTTCAGTTCTAAGTACAGTCACATGCCTTGTGAATCATTTGGCAAATCTGCAAAAGAAACTCTATGTTGGAGCGCCTGGCTGGCTCAGTCAGAAGAGCGTACCACTCTTGACTTCAGGGTCCTGAGTTCAAGCCCCACATTGGGTGTAGAGATTACTTAAATAAATAAAAACTTTTCAAAAAAGAATGCTCTATATACATATGTGTGTGTATACACACACACATACATATATATTCATTCCACACACGTATACATACATACATGTTTCACACATCACCGCTGATTCCATGTTCGATTCAACATAAGACTTTGATGCTGACTCATGTATCAACCTCACAAGGGTAGAGTCCCCGTCCACACCCACACCAACCCCAGGTCAACCCCAAAGACTCATACTTGATATGCAATAAAGTTTGTAGATAAGACCTCTCGTTGTAGTTCACCTTTGGGTAACATGGGGTGGGACAGATGTAGTTCAAAGTCACAAACAAATGCAGGTTCCCCAATTCAGAGGCCTCACATCCCTGATTGAGGATCCCATTTTTATTCAGGCTGGACCATTTGTCTGAGCACCGGTTTCCAAATCTTTGCCAGGTCTGGGAGTAGAGATTTCTAAGGACCAATAATTCATATGCACATCTCTTAAAGACTGAATACATAATTCCCAGGTTATCTCTTCTGGGTCTTTAGGAACCAGTTTAAATGTTACAATAGTCTTTATTTTAAAATTCCGAATATTTTATCTTGGAAAATCAGCAATCCAGGTATAAAAAACCAGCAGGGAATGGCCAAATTTGCTTGAGTATATACACTGGGGTCAGTTTCCCGTCCTGGCTAATGGCTTGAATTCTCCTCCTGGGAAGCTTAGAAAGGCCCGAGTGTCTTTTCATTTGATTGGTGTCTGGCTGCCACAATAAACATCACGCCTTTGAATTCTCTTCTTGAACTGATCGCCTAAATCGCAGGTCTAGGTTGGACACGGAAAAGAGAAGTTAGCCCAGATGCACACTGCCTCATGTTTCCAAGGGAAAGACCAAATTTAGGATCCCATGGCTTCTCACACCTCCCGCCTTCTGTTACGGTTCTGCAATATTCTCCCCTTGAACTCCCATCATTGGGTGCCATCAGTAAATGCTATCCCAAAAAGATGGATGGGTTTGTTTGATTCCTCCCCCGTATTCATTCCCCTCTGGCTTCAGCTCCTGATTTTCCTTGGGAAGCCACCCTTCCCGAACATTCTCAGTCCCTGTGGTCTGTTTGGTTGCACCACCTCTATCTACAGATCTCCGATCTGGCCACTGAAATAATCACATTTTCATGGCCACAGTAATTGGTTCCCGTACATCAACCAGTCAGATCCAATGGAACACACTGAGAATTCTGGGTCTCTCATTCTTTCCCACTAGACTTGAATCTGAGAAGGTACAAGAGGCTGATAAAAGCATCTTGCAATTGTGAGGAAGAGCCTATTTGAGAAAGGAGCTAACATGGAAAAGAACGGAACAGAAAAAAAAAAACCAGGTTCTGGTGACATATTGTGAGTCTCAGCTTCTGGCCATGCCTCAAGAAAGAATTATTCTTGGATTTTTGCTAAAGCCAGTTTGGGTTGGTTCTTTTAATTGAAAGAGTAACTGATGCATGAGCAGTTGTGACCCTCCACCTTGGGATATATCACTTTGTTACACTGGGTCTCCTTCAATGCCAATTTGGTTACTCACCACGAGCAGCATCATGTTCCCTGACAGGTAAAGGGCCTGGTTGCTGAAAGGGAATAAAACAGGTGGCCTCATCACTGGAAAAGAATTCGACTCAGGTCCTGTTGCATAGTTGGTGGGATTTGTGAGCCCCCACCATTTTAAAATTAAGATGTGACAAATGAAAACCAAGGCTCAGCCACAGACAAAGCGAAAGTGTTTTGTTTGGTCTTTTAGGGAAAGTGATTCCATTAATTTATTCATTCATTTCACAGACATTTACTGAGCGGCTACAATATGCCAGGTAATGTATTAGGGCCCAGGGCTGGAAGGGTACAGACAGGGTCTCTGCCTGCATAGGATTTAGAGTCAGGCCTCTAGATCCTTTATCTACATCATGCTGATGGTATTAATTTGCACAGATAGTAAATGGCATGGCATGGCACTGTCTTCTGACAAGATCCTCATTTCCAAAAACTAGCGGCATGTGAATTAAGGTAGGTTTACTGTTTATCTCTATTTTCCGGGACACCAAGGAAGCCAGCATGGGCTTTGGACTTAGAGCAGGGTTTCAGACACCTCTTACACCCTCTTGGTAAGCATGAAATTGGTAAAATCTTCTTAAGAGTATGATATGGTAACATCTATTAACATTATCATGTGCATGCCCTGTGGTAAAAATACTCACATAAAATAATTAAAACAAGAATGTTTCATTACGGTTTTTAGTATTAGAAACAAAAAACCTGGAAACAACCCAAATGTCCAAATATGTACAGACTGAAACAATGTCAGAAATATAGCATGAAGCGATGAGGGATGGGGTTATGATACTATGTGTACAGTATAGCCCCATTTTTCTAATAAATTAATAAACAAAAGTGCTAGTAGATGCATGTATACTTGCAGATGCCTAGGGGAAAAGATCTGGAAGAGTCTACACTGAACCATTAACACAGTGGGGTAAGATTTCAGGGTACTTTCCTTCTCTGTGGGATGTACTTCTGGATGACTGGATTATACAAAAGATGCATCCAAGCCCCATGAGGGCCTTCACCATAACCCCAGCACCGAGAACAAGGGTCAGCATGGAAAGGGTTGAATAAATATTATTCGTTAAATAAAAAAATACAGAAATGTTTAAACATAGAAAGTGAAGTGCCCTTATGTTATTCTAGTTTTCTGACGTACATTTCATGAGGAGGCAAGTCTGTGTCACAAAGACCCCAAGGCAACCTCCTGTCTCACCTCTACATCTCTCCTTTCCATTGTGAATGAGGTGGTGTTTGTTCTCTTCTCCATATCCTGCAACTTGGTCAACTTTTCTATCAGGAACATTTTATCTTTGCCCTCCTGCCAAGAAGGAAAACAAAAACATGGAAGATGGTGTGAGGTCAAGAAGCAAATGATGGAAAGAAGGTTGATTTTTTTTAGGCAGGTAGGGTCCCAGACACAGGATAGAGACTGCCACTGTGTTTTCTTTTTTTTTTTTTTTTAAGATTTTTTTATTTATTTGAGGGCAGTGGGGGAAGGGCAGAGGGAGAGAGAGTCTTAAGTAGACTCCGCAGTGAGCACAGAGCTCGATGTAGGTCATGATCTCATGACCCTGAGATCATGACCTGAGCCCAGGCCCAGGACAAATGGTGTATAGTAGCCCCCTTCTTGGCATGCCCTCTGTCTCAGAACCCTGTCTGGGCACCCAGCATTGTTGCTGTGTCCTCTCACTGAGCATGTCAAAGCTTACAGCTCTGCATCTAGGGACATCAAACATATTGCACTTGTCAAAGTTATCAGTGTCAATGGAGTAGACCCAGATAAAGAATTCTCAAATTGGGAAGGGAAACTGAGGAAGGGGGTATGTCTTCCCCAGGAGCATGAATCACTTACCTGTGAATCTGCTGCAGATGGGAGGGTGGAATATTCCACCAGTATTGAAGTGGGCTAGCAAGCACCACTGATGGTCTGGCCAGTCTAGATCAATCCCATTTCCCATGCCCTTGTTTCTCCTCAAACTTTCACCCAACAATTATTGAGCACCCAACAATTATTGAGCCTCCAACAATTATTGCTGTGGTATATGCTTCATAATAATTTTCTATTTCCCTTATTCCTTCTACATTTATTCACTAGAATTCTGCAAGGAAGAGCTATCCTTGGGAATTGGCATTTTAAACGAGTCTGCTAGCTGTCTTGGATATAATCAACTTGTTTGAAAATTGCTGGTGTCTAGCCTCTGTTTCCATACTCTAGTGCCAATTAGAATTACCTGGAGAGCTTGCAAAAAATCGGACTTCTAGGATTTATCCAAAAGATCTTGACTCAGGGAGGCAAAGCTGCATGGTAGTTAAGAGTATAAACTTTGGACTTGCCCAGTTCAAATTCCACCACTTACTAGCCCTGTGACTTGGGGCAGGTCACTTCACTCTGTAAGCCTCAGTTTCCTTTATTTTAAAATAGGGATTAAAGATGTATACACCCCAGAGAGAGTAATAAAAGTTAAATGAGAAATTTTGTTCATTATTTAGCACATACCAGGCATCATGTAAGTGCTCAACAAATGTCATCTGTTGCCATTACTGGCTGGAGATCAGGGTAATAGGAATTTGCATTTTTAATAAGCATCCAAGAGTTTCCAATGTAGGTGATCATACTTTGAGAAGGATTGTTACTGAGCCTATTCCTAGCCTCTTAGCAATGGGCCTGTCTTTGTGGTCCATCCTCTGGGCAAGAATTGCAAGCACAAAGGCCTGGAGATGCTTCTGGCGCCTCGCTGAAATGATGCCATCTAAATTCCTCCCCAGTTTACTTGGCAGTGCCCTTACAAGAGAAGGTTTTAAAATCAAAACCCTCCCCTGTTAAGATCTTCTTAAGACTTGCCCAAAATATTCAAAGTGCTGCATCAGAAAAATACAGGCCATGCTTGCAGGGACAGGCAGGAGAAAGAACATAATTAATCCATGCCCTTTCTTTACACCATATAAAGGACCAACCCACGTGATCTGAAACCCCAAAGATTCAAGCAGAGAGAACCCTGGGGAATCCTGCTTCTTTCTCATGTTCTAAGATGTAAGTGTTCGTGTCATAATTATGTTGGTATTTAGAAGAAAAGGGAACCAGCCCAGTAGCAATGAGCAGACTGTGGTCTCTAAATACCATTTCACCAGGACTCCTTGAATAAATGTCTGATTCATGTTCTGGGACAGGTAATAAACAAGAAGGGCCAGGAACATCTTGTCCTTCCAGGTAGCAAGCAAGCTATCAAAGACTTCTGGAGTCATAAGGGGTCCCTGGGTGGCTCAGTTGGTAGTGGATGCCTTCGGCTCGGGTCATGATCCCGGGGTCCTGGGATCGAGCCCCACGTGGGGCTCCCTGCTTAGTGGGGAGCCTGCTTCTCCCTCTCCCTCTGCAGCTCCCCCCTGCTTGTGCTCTCTCTCTGTCAAATAAATAAATAAAATCTTTATTTTATTTTCTTTAAAGCTTCTTTTTTTTTAAAGACCTTATTTTTTATTTATTTGATAGAGAGAGACACAGCGGAAGAGGGAACACAAGCAGGGGGAGTGGGAGAGGGAGAAGCAGCCTCCCCACTGAGCAGGGAGCCCGATGCGGGGCTCAATCCCAGGACCCTGGGACCATGACCTGAACTGAAGGCAGATGCTTAACGACTGAGCCACCCAGGTGCCCCAAGATTTTATTTATTTTTGACACAGAGAGAGTGTACAAGCAGGGGAAGAAGCAGGCAGAGGGAGAGGGAGAAGCAGGTTCCCCGCTGAGCAGGGAGCCCGATGCGGGGCTCGATCCCAGGACCCTGGGATCATGACCCGAGCTGAAGGCAGACGCTTAAGGACTGAGCCACCCAGGTGCCCCATAAATAAAATCCTTAAAAAAATAAAAAAGAGGGCGCCTGGGTGGCTCAGTCGGTTAAGCGACTGCCTTCAGCTCAGGTCATGATCCTGGAGTCCCAGGATCGAGTCCCACATCGGGCTCCCTGCTCGGCAGGGAGCCTGCTTCTCCCTCTGACCCTCCCCCCTCTCATGCTCTCTCTCTCTATCTCATTCTCTCTCTGAAATAAATAAATAAAATCTTTTATAAATAAATAAATAAATAAATAAATAAATAAATAAATAAATAAATAAATAAATAAATAAATAAAATAAAATAAAAAAGACTTCTGGAATCATGTCAAAGGAGCCCGAGAGCTAATCCAAAAGGATTTCCATTAACAAAGGATGAGACTATTTATGCATAAACAAATTATTATAATTGAAAGATGTCCAAGTATACTTAAATCTATGAATTCATAAGGACAATTTTAAAATCCTCACTGGCCACATTTGGAGATTGCTAGGTGTAGTAGGTCTAACAGTATCTCCCTTTTATTTTTTATTTTTTTAAATATCTCCCTTTTAAAAAGATATGTCCAAGTTATCCTAACCCCAGTACCTGTGAACATGGCCTTGTTTGGAAATGAGGTCTTTGCAGACATAATTAAAGATTCTGGGATGAGATCCTTCTGGATGAGGATGAACCCTAAATTCAATGACAAGTCCTTAGAAGAGAAGGAGAAACAGGCACACAGGGAATAAGAACTTGCGAAGATGGAGGCAGAAACAGCAGCTAGGAAGCCCTGAGCCGAGAAACAGCCAGGTGAGCCATGGCCCCCAAAAGAAGCTAGGAGAAGCATGGAGGAGATTCTCTCTCAGAGCTTCAGAAGGTACCAACCCTGCTGACACCTTGATTTTGGACTTCTGGCATCCAGAACTGTGAGAGAATAAATTTCCATTATTTCAAGCCACCAAGTTTGTGGTTATTTGCTATGGCAGGCCCTAGAAAACTAAGACACTAGGATACCAACCCATCCTTTCAAAAACTGGTAAATAAAGGGGAGAAAATCATGCATCTATGTTGCCTTTCCTCTATAAATTGTATTACAAGGTAATCAAATAGTTGGCGAGCAAAAATTCCTTTTTTCATGGAAGAATTCTAGCCAATCAATGCAGAAGAATCTCTAGGAGTAGAGTACCACTATTTTGTCATCTCTAACGAAATCAGTAGGTCCTCTAGGCAATATTCATCAAAGGCTACAAAATCCATCAGGTGAAAGGCGGATGGGGAGCCTTATGAAGGGTGGGTCAGGCCAACAAAGCATGGACCCACTGATTACTTTTAACATCACACAAAAATAGACAACTGGACATTTTCTGTCTCAAGGTGATGCTGTAAGAAGTGCATAGCATCATCTATGAAGTATTCTTGCTAAAACGCTGAATCTGGATTTAATCAGGTTTTTAAATCTCATCACCAGGGTACAGGAAATAAAAAGAAAAAATAAACATGGTAAACACCACGGCAAGGCCACAAATCAGATATATCCAGTAAGAACTACAAGACAAATGACCCGGTTTCTTCAACAATAAATGGCAAGAGAAGAGAGGAGGGGTGAATGACTATAGATGAGAAGAAACAAGAAACATATCGACCAAATGCAACCTGCAGCACTTTCTCAGACCCTGATTTGAACAACCCTACTATAAAAAGACACCCCATGTGGGCGCCTGGGTGGCTCAGTTGGTTAAGCGGCTGCCTTCGGCTCAGGTCATGATCCTGGAGTCCTGGGATCGAGTCCCGCATTGGGCTCCCTGCTCGGCAGGGAGTCTGCTTCTCCCTCTGACCCTCCCCCCTCTCATGTGCTTGCTCTCTCATTCTCTCTCTCTCAAATAAATAAATAAAATCTTTAAAAAAAAAAAAGACACCCCATGGGACAATCGGGGAAATTTGACCATTGATTGCGTATGAGCTAATAGTAAGGAATTATTTCTTTTTTTTTTTTTTAAAGATTTTATTTATTTATTTGACAGAGAGAGACACAGCGAGAGAGGGAACACAAGCAGGGGGAGTGGGAGAGGGAGAAGCAGGCTTCCCGCGGAGCAGGGAGCCCGATGCGGGGCTCGATTCCAGGACCCTGGGATCATGACCTGAGCCGAAGGCAGACGCTTAACAACTGAGCCACCCAGGCGCCCCAGGAATTATTTCTTTTAGGTGCAATGATGGTATTGTGGTTATGTTTTTTAAAAGTTTATATCTCTTAGGTGCAAAGAAGTTTTTACAGATAAAATGATATAAGTCTAGGATTTGCTTTAAAATAATCCAGAGATTTGCAGTGAACGGTTAGTGTAGATAAGAGGATACTGGCACGTCTGGGTGGCTCAGTCAGTTAAGCATCTGCCTTCAGTTCAGGTCATGATCTCGGGGTCCTGGGATCGAGCCCCAAGTTGAGCTCCCTGCTCAGCGGGGAGTCTGCTTCTCTCTCTCCCTCTGCCCCACCCCCACTCATGCTCACTCTGTCTCTCTCAAATAAATAAACAAATAATCTTGGAAAAAAAAAAAGAGTACACACATGTTGATGGTAGTTGGCACTGGGTGGTGGGCAGGTGTGGGTTCATCATACTATTCTATTTTGGAATATGTCTGAAAGTTCCCATTATAAAATGTTTTTAAAAAATGGTGGGAGGAGGATAACAGAGGGACTAATGGAACTTACATTAATAATCTGTTCATGGAGCAGTCTGATCATAATCTTTCTTCCCTCTGTGATCTGCCAGTAAAGGTAGGTGATGATTCTAGAAGAGAAGAAAAGAAAGAATGACAGACACTTTTGCCAATGTCTTGCAGGCCCCAAATTCCAAAAGAGTGCAAAGAAACCGAGATATTTGCTTGCAAGTGGATTTTGGCCCCACAGTGTTCCCGAAAAGTTGTGTCTGGATGAGTTACAGGTTAAATACACCACAGCAATGGTTCTAGGGGCACGTGGGTTGGCTCAGTCGTTAAGCGTCTGCCTTTGGCTCGGGTCATGATCTCAGGGTCCTGGGATCGAGCCCCACATTGGGCTCCCTGCTCAGTGGGGAGTCAGCTTTCCCTTCTCCCTCTGACCCCCCACCCCACTTGTGCTCTTTCTCAAGTAAATAAAAATAATAATTAAAAAAAAAAGAGCAACAGTTCTCAACCTGGCTGCACATGGAATCACGAGAGATAGAAAAAAGACTCATTCCATGACCTCTTCTCAGATCAATTATTCTCATAATCAGTTGTCTGGCAGAGGGCCAGAAAATAGTATTTTTACAGATTACACATGATTCTCATGTGCAGCCAGAGTTTGTGAGTCTGCCCAGTGCTATTCAAACTTCAACGTGATATAAATTTCCTGGGAATTTGTCAAAATGCAGATTCTGGGGTTCTGTAGGTCTGGGGTAGGGCCCAAGATTCTGGATCTCTAACAAGCTCCCCAGTGAATCAGAAGTGTGATACAACAAGGCCCTAGGAAAGCTCAGCATTTTAAAGAGGCTAGTGGCAACCTAGTGTAGGGAAGGGAGGGCATGACCGGGAGCAAGGACACCCAGGTTCTAGCCCCTGTGTCACTCACAGGCTGTGCAGCCTGGAGCCTATTTCTGCAAGTCAGTCCATCTCTGTCTCATCACTTCCACCTGCAAACCTGAAAGGCTGCTCTATAAGCAACATCCACTGGTTCCACTAGTCTGTGCTTTTGAGTTGTGTCTCTCTCTCTGAGGAGTTGCAATTTCCAGTGCTATCAGGGCTAGGCTTCTAAAGAGGGACAGCTATTAGCCAACCAACTGTTCATGCAGGAAGATGAACCTGGTCTTGGCAGATCTGTTTTTTCATAAGAAGTCAGAAACTGGCTCAGTCATTAAGCGTCTGCCTTCGGCGCAGGTCATGATCCCAGGGTCCCTACTCGGCGGGAAGCCTGCTTCTCTCTCTCCCACTCCCCCTGCTTGTGTTCCCTCTCTCGCTATGTCTCTCTCTGTCAAATAAATAAATAAAATCTTAAAAAAAAAAGTCAGAAATTGATCGTTTTTATTTGGAAATGGAAGAACGCTATCCTATGTACCAACACTGCCCAACCCATTTGAACGTAATCACAATCTCAGAAAGAATCACACCTAAAATTTTCCTAAGCAGTCTCAAATCAAAATTTTCATTTTGTTTTCATGTAATTTCTTAAGAGGGAGCACAGAAGGTATTGTTTTCTTCATAAAACAGGTAAAAAAAAAAAAAAAAAAAACCACAGAAAACAAAAACAAAAAACCTAGGACAAGGGCAAAGTCAGGGGCATCCAGAACACTGAGCTAACACTGTAGCCCTTTGCCTTCCTGGCAAACCTCGCCCAGACTATCCACCAGCAGAGTTAATGGTATGTTTCCCCCTCCGGGTTCCCGAGGTGCTCCACTTACAACACAATGAGGGTGAGGATGAAAAAGAAATGCACGCTTCCGATGAGGTTCCGGTAGATCCAAACAACCCACAGGTAGCTAGGCCTTTTACTCAAGGTGTCGATCCAGCCGTAGATGGAGTAAATGAAGAAGGGCAGACCTCGGAAGGGGCCACAGTCAGCTGAAGGTTTCAATCTGGTAAAACAAGGGACAGAGGGGCGCCTGGGTGGCTCAGTTGGTTAAGGGACTGCCTTCGGCTCAGGTCATGATCCTGGAGTCCCGGGATCGAGTCCCACATCGGGCTCCCTGCTCAGCAGGCAGTCTGCTTCTCCCTCTGACCCTCCCCCGTCCCATGTGCGCTCTCTCTCTCTTTCAAATAAATAAATAAATAAAAATCTTAAAAAAAAAAAAAAAAACAAGGGACAGAAAAACCTCTCTAGCACAAGACTCAGGTATAGCTTTTTCTAGAATCAAACTGTCCTTTCTGGGCTCTGGACCTAGAACCAGCAATTCTTGTCTGCTGTACATATACCCTCCTTCCCGAGGAAACCCTCTCCCTCACAGCCTCAGCTGGGATATCTTACACTTGTGACCTACGCTCTGAGGACCTGCTCCCAGACAGCTTCTCACTGGATCTACTGATCGCCAATCCAAAGAGCAGACGTTGAACTCTGCGATATCCTGGCTTGAAGAAATGAACTGGGTGATCAGATTCTTTTTCTGGGGAACTTGAACTAAGAAATATGAAGAGGGGACCCTGTGATCTGTGGAGGCTGAAATTGTGGCAATGGTGGCCACGTGTAGTCAGTTGTTATGAACTAGCACAAACTAGAGGGAAACTAGGAACTGGTTAGGAAGAGAGAGAAAAGAGAGATACAAAGACGTCGTAAAACAGAGGAGCCTCCCCTGAAGCCACTTGAGTTCCTGATGGTTCCAGTTCTGCTTACAACCTAAAAGTCAACTCCTTCGTTCGTTCATTCATTCATTCATTCATTCATTCATTCATTCATTCATTCATTCACTCATTCATTCTATAAAAGTTTACTGCACCTGTACGAGGTGCTGTGCTAGATACTAAGCCTTGGGGATTCCATAGTAAACAAGACAGACATGGACTCTGCCCTCTCGGATTTACATTTTAGTAAGAAAGATGGACAACTAGGGACACCTGGGTGGCTCAGTCGGTTAAGCAGTCTGCCTTCAGCTCAGGTCATGATCCCAGGGTCCTGGGATCGAGCCCCGCATCGGGCTCCCTGCTCAGCGGAGAGCCTGCTTCTCCCTCTCCCACTCCCCCGCTTGTGTTCCTTCTCTCGCTGTGTCTGTGTCAAATAAATAAATAAAATCTTTAAAAAAATAAAAAAATAAACTATGAAAAAAAAGAAAGATGAACAACTAATGAGTAATGATTAAACAAAGATCCAAATGAAGGCATCTCTGGCCATGAGCGATGGAATGAAGAGACAAGAGGTGGAACTGACATAGATAAGCCGGGTCACTTCTGAGCCAAGAACCAGAGGGCGGGCAGAAGGCCACCAAGCAAAGGGAGTCGGGAGAACACTTCAGAGGACTCCACCCTGTGTCAGGAGAGGCTCACAGGGTCCCAGGTGTGAAGCAAGAGCCATGAGGATGAAGGAAGGTGGAGCCAAAGTGGGCTGAGGTTGGAGAGCTAGGAGGGAACCAGCTCAAGCAGGGCATTTCCGTTCATTTCGCTCAAGTTCTGTCCCCATTCTGGGAAGTTGCAGTCCTTCCAGGAAGTGAGGAAACTGTGCCAAGTCACCTGATGGGTGGTGACCGAACCAAGAGCTACTCCCTCCCTTGGTTGTTTTGTCTGCTGATTTCCAAGGGAACTTGGGTTAAACAATGTACTAAGCGCTGTCTTCTCACTCTGATGTTTTGACATCTGGGGTCTTATTGACCCTGGAGAAATAGCCCTTGATCCAGAGCCCATATCCCACCCTCCACCTACTCTATCAGGCTCTCACACTCAGGGTCACTATCCCCCTGCCCTGATCACCCCAGAGCCAGGTACCAGACAACTCCAGTCAGCCCCTTTACCTCAAAACCCACTGAAATTGTTCCAATTAGCCAATCCTAAACCTGCCTACTCCGCCTTGCTCTTTCCTTCCCACCGAAACCACAATAAAGGCTCTTGCTCACATTTTCTCCTCACTCCCTCTGCGTCCTGACCAACCCTGGGGCTTCCTCATGTGGCCCTCCGTGGCGTGGTATTCCCACCCGCCACCACCACTTCTACTGGGGTCTGAGAACAACAGATCATCTTTCAACAGCATTCGCCTTCTGATCTGCTGGTCTCACCATACCTTAATAATAATAAAGCTGACATGTTAAAACACTCACCCACCACATCTCTAAGACCTCACCACAAGGCCACTATCTCCTACCTCCAAATGGTGATGGCTAGGGTGCACAAGACCCCAGTGAAGGATGGGAAAAAGAGCAAGAAGATGAAGAATGTCATCATCTGTGAGGCTCGCCAGGCTTTGCTGGGAGGTTGGAAATTCATCATCAGGCTGATCTGAAGAGAGAGAAACGGCCACCTCCCATCTGTGGTCAAAGAAGCAGGGACCCCAGCCAGGCACCAGCTTCCTGACCCCCTTCCCGGCACCACCCCCCACCACCCCCAACGCAATTCCAACCACCATGGGGTCACATGGGACTGAGAGAGGCTAATCGATTCCAACTTCAGACTGACTCACATTTTTGACGTAAAACATGATGAAAAGAGTAATCATTTGGATAAAGGGCAGCAGAGGGCAGAAGAAGGTTCCAATCCTATGAGGGAGAAAGAGTGTCAGAGGTCAGGGGGAGACACGCAGAGTGGGGAGCGGGGGCAGATACAGGGTGTGCAGGGAAGGGAAAGAGGGTGTTAAGGGGTGAACCGTGTTTCTCCAAAATGCATACGCTGGAGTCCTAACCCCTAATACCTAGGAATGTGATTATATTTGGAGATAGGGCCTTTAAAGAGTTAATTAAGGTACAGTGAGATCACTAGGGTGGGCCTTAATGCAATCTGACTAGTGTCCTTCAAAGAAGAGATTAGGACACACAGAGGAACCATGTGAGGACACTGGGAGAAGGTGCCATCTACAGGCCAAGCACAGAGGTCTCAGAAGAAACCAACCCTTGAACACCTTGATCTTGGACTTCTGGCATCCAGAATCGTGAGGAAATGTTGTTAAGCCACCCCGTCTGTGGTACTCTGTTATGGCAACCCTAACAAACAAATACAGAGGGAAAGTGCTCTGTCCCCCTGCAAACCAGGAAAATCCCCACCATACCCAAGATCCTCAGCTGCTCTCTTCCCAGCTTTGGAAAAGAGATTTTGCAGAAAGTACCACCCACATACCACCAAATGGCCTTCAGCAAGCCCTAACCTAGGTGTCCCGAATGTGGGACATGTCCCTCTCCTCCCTCCATGGCAGTAGAGAAGGTCTGAGGTCCTGCAGGGACACTGGGTTACACATGAGAAGGACATTCCCCTCAATTCTCCCTAACACTCCTGAGTAGAGATTTCCAAGAGAAGAAAATCTCAATTTGGTGGGCCTAACACTTGCCGACCTCCCTTTTTCTCCTAAAAGAAATGGTGGGGACAAGCTTTAAACTGAGAACCTTGGCAGACAGGAGCACCCAGCTAGAATTTGACTGTTTGTGATAGGCTTGGTTTTATTTTATTTTTTAAAGTGACTGACATTTTTCTTTAAGTGATCTCTATGCCAGAGAACCTACGACACTGACATCAAGAGTCAGATGCTCTACCAACTGAGCCAGACAGGTGCCCTGGTTGGATTTACTTTTCAAGTTACTTGAAGTTTCTCTCAAATGACACAGGTTTTCCACTTATGGTTGTAAAATAAAGACTCCTTTAACAATGTATTTAGGGGCATCTGGGTGGCTCAGTCGTTAAGCGTCTGCCTTCGGCTCAGGTCATGATCTCAGGGTCCTGGGATCGAGCCCCGCATCGGGCTCCCTGCTCCGCGGGAAGCCTGCTTCTCCCTCTCCCACTACCTCTGCTTGTGTTCCCTCTCTCGCTGTGTCTCTCTCTGTCAAATAAATAAAATATTAAATAAATAAATAAAATAAAATAAAACCAGTACAGGTGATATGTAGACATGCCAAAAAATAGACAAGCTGGTGTGCAAAAGATACTTACCTCACCTCATCTCTACCATCGTCCCTAACATACACTCCCTTTCTGTTGTCTTCTTTTTTGTTATAGAGAGAGAAAGAAAGAGATAGTGAGCAAGGGAGGGGCAGAGACAGAATGCCAAGCAGGCTCCACACCCAGCACGGAGCCGACAAGGGCTCGATCTCACGACCCCGAGATCATGACCTGGGCTGAAACCAAAAGCTGGATGCTCCACCGACTGAGCCACCCAGGCACCTTTCCCTTATCTTCTTTTAAAGCTCATGAGCAAAGGCAATCTTCTCCTAAAAAGCACAGAGGTTAAATCTATAATTGCCGTGGAGAAAGGAAAGGATACATGGGTTTTCAGTTGTGCTTATTTACAGTTTATTAACACAAACCATAAAGGCCCAGAAGTAATAATGGCCACCTCTGATTGGAACTTTTCCCCCCCTGCTCATGGCTAACATTTCCCTTTGGAACCTTCAGCAAGTGATCAGTAGTATGAGCACTTGGTGTCTAGGGTTCAAAAACCCGGCCAAAGTAAGCACTCGATAAATGGAAATATATTGTTATTATCACATCAGCTGATCTATGAACATCATTTAATTAAACAATCTAAGAGTGTTCATATGTGCCATAAGATTGAATTGAAAGCAGGGTCTCAAAGAGACATTTGCATACCCATAATCATAGCAGCATTATTCACAGTAACCAAGAGGTAGAAGCAACCCAAAGGTCCCTCCATGGATGAATGGATAAACAAAATGTGGTATATCCATACAATGGGATATTATTCACTCTTACAAAGGAAGAAAGTACTGATGTATGCTACAATATGTAGAACCCGAAGAACATTATGCTAAGTGAAATAAGCCAGGCACAAAAAGATAAATTCCGTATGATTCCACTGACATAATGTATCTAGAGTAGTCAAACTCACAGAGACAGAAAATAGAGTGCTGGTTGCCAGGGGCTGGGGAAGGGGGAACTGGGGAGTTCTTGCTTGATGGGTAGGGAGTTTCCGCTTTGCAAGATGAAAAGAGTTCTGGAGATCTGTTGCACAGCTATGTGAATAGACACGACTCAACTGTACATTTAGAAAAGGTTCAGATGATTATTATATGATGCATTTCCCTACCACAGTTTTTTTTAAAAGTGCTCATAAAGGTAACAATACCCACAATATCCCCACTTACAAAATATTTCTGAGTCAGTCTGAAGATTTTCAAAACTTACCACACCAGAGTTTGTGCATAGATCAGTTCCAGGACATTCCTGGCAATGTCAAACTCTTGTAAGCCAAGGCTTGTGATAAACTGCATTCCAATGAGTCTGTGAAAACATCACTGAGTTTAGTACCCAAATCATCAACTCTCTCCTTCAAAAGATTCCCCACAATCAACAAAGTAGAGCCTCACCAGTTTGGAATAAAGTCCTAAGTTTCCTTGCAAATGTTTGAAAGGTTCCAAGTACAAGCATATTTTCAAAGAAATAATTGAAGGAATTGAGGGAAAATGGAATTAATACAATACATTTGAATAGAGGTACTGCTGAAGTGGTTTAAAAAAAATTCTAGAGGGGTGCCTGGGTGGCTCAGGTTAAGAATCTGACTCTCGATTTCGGCTCAGGTAAAAATCTCAGGGTTGTGAGATTGAGCCCCGCATCAGGCTCCATGCTGGGCATGGATCCTGCTTAAGATCCTCTCTCTCCCTCTCCCTATGCCCCTCTTTCTAAAAAAAAGAAAAATTCTAGAGAACATTATTTAAGTTATCCCTCCTGTTATTTAAATAGTTAATTATAAGCTAACAATAGATATTATTTAAATGAGATCACTATTAAAATTATCCTATTATCTCATTTATACCACTCTTTGCTTATTCAACCTTTTTCTCAGGGACCAGATAAATTCAGAACCTCCGAACCCAAATAAACTGAACATTTTTCCATTTCTGGTTACTGCTATTGGATTAATAGTGCTTGCTTGCTTTCTAAATCCACAAGAGGAAGCCAAGGTCTCCATTTATTCTGAGGAAACTTGAGACCACTTTGAATTCTTCATACAGAGAGGATGCCAATTAAAAAAAAAAAATTGCCATGAAAAAAACAAAAACAAAAAAACCTCCCTACCTTTACGTCCAGACCCTGAACAGAGGCTGTAATGAAAGTGAGTTTGGGCAGACTGAGTGAGGAGATTGGGCATGCAACCTACCCACCGAGGAAAGAATCTTTATGTTATGCCATCTTATCATGGGGGCAGCTCAAAGAAACGTGTGTCTATAAGGAACGAGATGCTCGGCATATTATTAACAAATAAATGAATAAATCAGTAAAAGAGGACTATATATGGGTCAATGATTACACTGCCTCAATTCTGTATACCTGGCATCTGAAATAACAATCACCATAATAATCAAATTCAATTAAATGAATCATGACATAAATCTAGATGTACTGTTAGGGAAAGATACCACAGCAGAGTTTTAAGATTAATAAGAGCACACACCACAGTGATTTTCATTGTGACCCCATTTTTGTCTTTGAAATTATATAATACACACACACACACACAAAGCAGTATGTGCACAGAAAAATCTGGAAGGATAAAATTATCTATGGTGGAGGGGCGCCTGGGTGGCTCAGTCGTTAAGCGTCTGCCTTCGGCTCAGGTCATGATCCCAGGGTCCTGAGATTGAGCCCCGCATCGGGCTCTCTGCTCCACGGGAAGCCTGCTTCTCCCTCTCCCACTCCCCCTGCTTGTGTTCCCTCTCTCGCTGTGTCTCTCTGTCAAATAAATAAATAAAAAATCTTAAAAAAAAAAATTATCTATGGTGGAAAGTTCTCAAATGACTTTCAGTTTCTATGTTTTATTTCTAGCCCTTTTTTTTTTTTTCAAGAGAAGGTTGTCAAGGGCTAGCTGAAACTTGGACAACAGGACTGTCAGATAAAAGTGAAATATCAGTTAATTCAGAAAGAATCAGTATCCCAAAGAATGAAAGGCAGACTTCTAACAGTGCACACTAAAGTATATAAGGGATACTTATGTACTAAGTATATAAGTATAAAGGATACCCATACTTCCTGCTCAGCCAAGACTATGGCTCTGGTTCCAACATCAGGTATTAATTACTCAAGGCTGACAAATATTTACCTCCTCAGGAACTCGCCCAGGAAGGAATCAGCTAAAGAGAACACAAAATCCATCAGAAGGAGTCGGTAGATTTCCTGGCCAATGAGGGTTTCCCAACACTGAAAGGCAAACAAGAGTCAGGAGATGCGAAGCGGCTTTGCTTCTTCCTCAATTTCCATCTGTTCCTGGCATCCTGCACTCATCAGGACATGGCTGGTGGCTCGGTCTGACCGAGTCCTTGTGTGCGCAGAAAAGCAGACCCACTCCGGGCAGAGATGCACCATTAACTTGTTGAGTTTGTTTTCAAGGGTGTTTATTCCCTTTCTGTGCCCCTTCTTCCCCCGGTAAGTCTTGCCCCCCACATGTACCCCAAACTTTCCCTTCTCATTATCTCTCCTCTTAAAACTTTTCATCCCTGTCCTATGCCCTCTGGATCCCATTTCTCAGCCAGGGAGAGCAGAACGCATCGATGGCAATAATGCCTTCACTCGTTTTATTAACCTCATGAAAATTCATTAATATCTGCCTGACTAAGAAAGTGCCCTAGGGGGGTGCCTGGGGGGCTCAGTCGTTAGGCGTCTGCCTTCGGCTCAGGTCTTGATCCCAGGGTCCTGGGATCGAGCCCCACATCCAGCTCCCTGCTCAGCGGGGAGTCTGCCTCTCCCTCTGCCTGCCGCTCCCCCCTGCTTGTGCTCCCTCTCTCTCTTTCTCTCTGTCAAATAAATAAATAAAATCTTTAAAAAAAAAAGAAAGAAAGTGGCCTAGGAGTTTAGCAGGCTAGCACAAACTAGAAGGCTGAATTAGTCAGTTCATAAAACTGATAGCCACTTACCTGTGCAGGAAGTCAGTGCTATGAGCTGATGGACTGAGAGCTTTTAGATTTGGCTGAACAAGGAGAAGGAGGTTTTGAGTGCATAGCCCAAGGATGGATGGATGGACGGATGGATGGAGGGAGGGATGGATAAATGGATAGATAGATGAATGGAAGGATAATATGATATCTACTCTAAGATCATGAGTAGAAACTCTGAGAAACTCACTTCTTCCCTGGTGGTCAAAGGTTAAGAAACCAAACTCAAGGCAGAACAGCATAGAAATCTCACCTCTTCACCAGCCTGGGCCACAATGTTGAGCCAATAGTAACAAAGAATTCCAATGACTGATATTTTCAGAAAGATGTTTCTAGATAACAGAAGAGAAAACAACTATCATTACCTTCCATGACAGTCATTAGTACTGTTTGCCAATATGTCCTTTTGGTCATGTGGTAGGACCGAAATTTCTGCTCCCCTCTGGTTTGAGTGGGGCCATAGGGCTAGTTCTGGCAAATGAGTTGTGAGCAGAAGTGATGTGTGTCACTTTGTGTCACTTCTAGGCTGCAGCATTTAAATGCCAATAAGACTCTCTGGAACTCACTGTCTTCCCTCTGAAATGGCCATCAGCAATATCTGAGATGGTTGCTGCTCTCAGCCTGGATCCCGGCATGAATGACATGACCAAAACCCTCTGCCATCCACAAGGGTCATACAATATGAGCAAGAAATAAATCTTTGTGTTCTAAGCCACTGCCACTGAGAAGAGAGGGGATGTTTGTTACTGCAGCATAACCTAATTTATATCAACTGATATACCCTCTTTCACTTCTCATTGACTATAATAACAGTAAACATACATACTATTCACCGGGTGCTGACCATGGACAGTACACTGTGTTAAGAACTTTACTGAATCACCTTAGTCTTTTCAAGTTAATGTTTACAACTTTCTAACTCTTAATACTTACAACTCTATCATCACGTAGATAGTATTTTATGTCTATCTTACTGACGAAGAAACTGAAGCTCAGAGGTGAAACAATTTGTCCAAGGTCACACAGCTTCCGAGGGGCATGACAAAGATTGAAACAGAGGACCATCTGCTCTAACCCCCTGAGCTCTTAAACCCAGTCATTTTGCCTTAAATCAACACGTGCTGGTTTTAATAGGGCTTCAACATTGGTGTGCCAACAATCGTGTGCCTCTAGACCAGTGGTTCTCAAAGTGTGTCCTCCAACCCAGTAGCATCGGCCTCATCTGCAAACTTGCTAGAAAGGCAAATTTTCAGGCCCCACCCCAGAGCTACTGAATCAGAAACTCTGGGGACAGGGCCAAGCAATCCCTTCAGGTAATTCTGGTGTATGCTGAAGGTTGGGAATCATTGTGTTAGACAGTAAGTTTCATGAAGGAAGGAAACTGGATCTTTTTCAAAGCCAGATCCTAATCTCTTGCTCATACCTAGCTTGCAGTAGACCCTCAATATCTCCTGGATTAATGAGTTAGTGTACCTTTGCTGCAGGGTAGCTCCACATTAAACTTGAGAAAACATACTCATCTAAGCTGAGAAAAGCTCATCTTATATCAAAAAGAATTGCCTATTTCGAACCTTTCCCATTTCCTCTTCATGCAGAGAAGATTTTGAACATTTTGAATATTTTGTGAAGCAGTACAAATGACTGATGTCTGCGAAAAGTCCATTAACCTCTTTATGTGATCAGGAAAAACACAAATAGCAAAGTGATTGGTTCAAAATGGCCCACTAAGCACACAGGTCTACCAGCTCTCCATCCAAATTCTCCAAATGCTGTTGGAGAGCTGGTCAGGACTCAGATCTCAGAGGCATGGAAGGCAAAGGCTCTCGAATTGATCAGTAAAGAAACTCAATCTGCATTGGACAGACCTATTATTATAAACACCACCATAACCAGGAACTGGTCAGGGAACTAACCAGAAGAAGGAATAAGGACAAAATTTGGGTAATTTTGTGCTTTGTTTATCGAAACCCTGGGTTCACCTCTAGCGCAAAAAGTGATGTGTGTCCCAGCCGATGAATTGCCAAAAGTACCCTCTCTACCTCCATATGGGTGTCTGAATTGCAAAAATGCCTCTCTTCCTCCCAGCTGAGGCAGTGGCTATCCGGGCTCACAGCTTGACTAATGGGAACACTGGATAAATTTCAGTCCTCGCGCAGCTCCTCAGCCAGGAGCCTTTCTGCAGTCCACAACATACACATCTGTACATCTCATAACTGAGACCTATGTTAAACCTCAGGCTGATCGCAATCGGGAAGGATAAGCCCTTACTTTGAGCAAAAGGCAGATGGACTGCTCCATATTTCCTGAGCGCCTTTTGGATTTTCTGGCAATGAGCCCCCACCACACGAACACACTCTATTCCTGCAACTCTTTCTGGAAAACAGCACTTTGGTACTTGAGCCTAACCCTTTCTAGCTCCCACCTCATTGCCCCCCATGGAAATGGAGGCTGGTGCTGGAGGCGGCGGACACACCTACCGGATCAGGAGGGCATAGACTTCGTGCCGTGGCATCTCGTACCGCTCCACGAGCCTGAACAGGGAGTAGAGGCGTGGCACTGCCAGGTTGATGCAGGACACAGTGAAAGGCAGCAACAGTACTGCTCCAGGGTCCTTGTGCTTCTTCAGGAACTGCAGGGGATGGAAGGCAAGAGCTGAGAGGCCGGGTGTGCACTGAACTCCTCTCGGCCTCCCACAGGCGACTGCCCACAACGGGCAAACCCCAGGAGTAGCTCCTCAGGGGTTCTTGAGCACTTACCCTGAGCCAAGCACCACCCACACGACTGGGTGTAATCCTCACGACAGCCCGGCAGGTGGCTATGAACAGACTTACCTGATGGGCAAACTGAGGCCCAGAGAGGCAAAAATGCTTGCCCAGGGTCACCCACTAGGGGCTGGCAGATTTGAACCGGGTCCATGCGTCTTAGGGCCCTGAACGCAAACAGCCATCCTGTGACTTTACCATCCTCAGCAAAGGTCTAGGGCCCCGAGAAGGTGCTCCCTGGCTGTCAGAGCAAAACCTTAAATCCGGTGAAGCTACAGCACGTGGGTATTGATCACTGTAGCATGTTTCCTCCCCTATCCTGGGTGGCCCTGTTCATCTTTACCGGGCTTTGCTGTCCTTGGATGCTGAATTAGGGGAAACGGGGGGGCCTCTGCCAGCCCATGCCGTACCTTTGTATGAGGCCCAGAGAGACACCCCTTCCTTCATATGGATGTGACACCCTGGCATTTGGCTAAGAGTGGGGGCTAGGGTGCCCCTCTGCCAGGCATCCTTGGAGTAAGGGATTCCAGTGGATTTTTCTTCTGTCTCCCACTACCCCCTCCCCCACCCCCAGGCCTGACCCTGCCTCCCTTTACCTCTGGATGGTTTTGGAATGCCCCGCTTGCACTTTTGGCAGTATTTCTGTAGCCATAGATCCAAATGCCGCCCCCTCCCCATGCTTATAAGCTGCATGAGGAGCCAGAGACATAGCTTCTCTGAGCTTCTTTTCCCTGTCTGTATAATGAGGAGATTATCGTGTAACCCATAGAGTTATTTGAAGAATTAAATGAGAGCGAGGGCACCTGGGTGGCTCAGTCTGTTAAGCGTCTGACTCTCAACGTCGGCTCGGGTCATGATCTCAGGATCGTGGGATCGAGCCCTGCATCCGGCTCCATGCTCAGTGGGGAGTCTGCTTAAGATTCTCTCTCCCTCTGCCCTTCCCTCCACTCTCTCTCTCTCTAATAAATAAATCTTTAAAGAAAAAGAATTAAATGAGACCAAATAAGGCAAAGTCTGGCCCCTGAATAACACAGGTAGGACACCATTCACAGGAAATGATAGTTGCCAATGAGTATGACCCCTGGAGTGGTACAAGGTTGTTCCTGCCTGGCATAGAGCAGATGTTCAAACAACAGGAATGACTCCACTCTGCCTCCTCACCTCCTTAGCTGCCCTCCTTCACTTCACGTGGGTGTAGAGGAAAGCTTCCAGGTGAAGAAGAAACTCACAAGTCTTCTTTAGGCCTATAGCTGCCTGGTCACAGTTTGCATCCTAAGTAGACATTGCTAAGCCCTTAAGCATTGAGACTTAATTTCCCCTCTTTCAGGGCACACCTTAATATGGTTAATGGCAAACCCTTAGATTTATATAATCCCACATCCATTTTCTTCCTGGCTTCTCCTTTACTTATTCAGCCATTTGGTTGAGCACCTATTATGTATGAGGTATTGAGTCTGGAGCCCAGCTACCAGACAAATGTATAAACAGGTATTTTCTTTTTTTTTTTTTTTAAAGATTTTATTTATTTATTTGACAGAGAGAGCAAGAGAGCACAAGCAGGGGGAACAGTAGAGGGAGAGGGAGAATCAGGCTCCCCACCAAGCAGGGAGCCCCATGTGGGGCTCGATCCCAGGACCCTGGGATCATGACCTGAGCCGAAGGCAGGCACTTAACCATCTGAGCCACCCAGGCACCCCCGGTATTTTCAATACCACACATGACAAGGGCACAGGAAAAGCCTGCAGAGTCAGGAACACTCAACTCAGTCTAGTGAAGGTGATGGTGGTGAGGAAATGACACTGTGCCGAGGTCTAGAGAAGGAGAAGTTTGCCAGATAACAGAATTAGGGGACGTGGGGTGGACAATGAACTGCATGTTTCCCACCTAGAGATAAGGAAATGCATGATATGTTCAGGGAACTGTGTTCAGTTCAGCATTTAGTGTTGCTGGTGTGTAGGATATGGGTAGTTGTGGGGTGTTGAGACTAGAGATGTGGGCAGGGTCAGATCATATAAGATCTGTCAATCATGCCATGGAGGATAGATTTTATATTAGGAGTAACATGAAGCCATTAAAGACAGTGACATGGGGCGTCTGGGTTGCTCAGTCATTAAGTGTCTGCCTTCGGCTCAGGTCATGATCCCAGGGTCCTGGGATCGAGCCCCGCATCGGGCTCCCTGCTCCGCGGGAAGCCTGCTTCTCCCCCTCCCACTCCCCCTGCTTGTGTTCCCTCTCTCGCTGTGTCTCTCTCTGTCAAATAAATAAATAAAATCTTTAAAAAAAATTAAATTAAAATTAAAAAAATAAAGAAAGTGATGTAATCGGACCAACCTGTACCACAATTCAAGAGGTCAGCAAACTGGCTACAATTAGCCCCATTTTCCAACGGATTTGAAAGCCAAAACCTACAGAAAAACAGTACTTTGCCCAGATCACCCAGCTAAATAGTCTCCGAGTTCATATCACTAGGAAAAAAAGAAAAAGAAAAAAAAGCTAACATTCCTTCACCACCCACAGTACTGGACACTGAGGAGATTCTTCACAAAACTTTTCTCTGGTCCTGACCACACACCTACAAAGCCAGGTCCGATCATTCCTGTTTTGCAAGTGAGGAATACAGGGCTCAGAAAGGTTAAATCGGGAAGAAGGGCCTGGCCTTCGAGTGACAGCGACGCAAGATGGCAGCCACCACGGGCTTAGACTATTTATGAAAACCGAATATACAGCCTTAAAATAGAATGTGGACCTAAATACCCAGAAGCACCCCCCTTTGTAAGATTTGTAACAAAAATTAATATGAATGGAGTTAATAGTTCTAATGGAGTGGTGGACCCAAGAGCCATATCAGTGCTAGCAAAATGGCAGAATTCATAAAGCATCAAAGTTGTCCTGCAAGAGCTCCAGCGCCTAATGATGTCTAAAGAAAACATGAAACTCCCTCAGCCGCCCGAAGGACAGTGTTACAGCAATCAATCAAAAAGAGAAACCACAGGGGCACCTGGGTGGCTCAGTGGTTAAGCGTCTGCCTTCGGCTCAGGTCATGATCTCAGGGTCCTGGGGTCAAGCCCCGCATCGGGCTCCCTGCTCGGCGGGAAGCCTGCTTCTCCCTCTCCCACTCCCCCTGCTTGTGTTCCCTCTCTTGCTGTCTCTCTCTCTGTCAAAAAATAAATTAAAAATTTTTTTTTAATTTTAAAAAATTGAAATTTTTTTTTTAAATTAAAAAAAAAAAAGAGAAACCACAGGCCCTCTTCCCTCCCCCCCATTCGATTTAAGCAGTCATTTTACACAGTAGCACATTTTCTAGATACGTCTTGTAGACCTCAAAGTACCGGAAAGGAAGCTCCCATTCAAAGGCAATTTATCTTAAGATTCTATAAACGATACTAATTTTTTGTCCATTTGAAATATATAAGTTGTGCTATAACAACAACAACAAAAAAGAAACAAAGGTTAAATCGTTCACAAAAGTCCATCAGATCACAATATTTCCTGAGTATCTACTTAGAGCCGGGGGCAGTGGGAAGCATTAGGGATATAATAAGGAAAGAAGAAACCCCAAATCCCAGGTCTGTGGTCCCGGTGCTCATCTCTCCACTGGCCCAGAGCTGCTCTCCTGAGGTGTGCACATACATCACCTGGCGACATGGTAAGGATGGATTCTGAGTCCATGGGCCAAGGGAGGGACCCAAGATTCTGCATTTTTTTCACAAGGCTCCAGCTGATGTCAATGCTACTGGCCATGGAGTCTGTGAGTACTGCTCTATGCTGCTCTTCCCTCCAGCATCCCATCCCTTCACCTGGTTCTGTGCTCTGGACTCTGGGACTCCCTCCCCTGTGGTTACCTCTGAGTTGTTCTCAGCCAGGTAATAAACAGCTACGCAGCAGGCAACTGCCACTCCAGTGGAGACAACCCAGGCCGCCAGGTGGGCAGAGAAGCGGATCAGCTGCTGATTGAGCCTTAACTTGACATTCTCCTGACGGATTTCCGACAGGTTTTCCTACAAACACAAGGAAGTCAAGCTGGCCCACAGGACCCTCTCCACTGTTAGCAAAGACTCTCCGGGTGAATCTCTGTCACTTCAGGACACAAACCCACCCCAGATCCACAGAAGAAAGAAAGGGGAAAGTTCATGTCGGATGTGGATTATGAGAGACCCATGGGAAAATCTCAAATGGACCAAGAACCCCCATCATGGCGTCAAACACTTTTTCCATCTTAAGAGGATTGGGACCGTGCTCTTGAGGAAAGTGCTTTGAAGTCATGAAACTCTTTTTTGAAAAATAGGCTGGGTATCTACACCAAGGAAGTTAGCATCGTCAAACCTCTTGTCAAAGCTCCTTTGCTAATAAATTCTGCTTCCTCTTTCTTTTTTTTTTTTTCTATTTCACCCAACACCCGCCCCACCCCCCCAACCTCCCATCTGGCAACCACCAGTTTGTTCTCTGTATTTAAGAGTCTGGGTTTGGTTTTTTTTGTTTGTTTATGGGGTTTTTTTCCTCTTTCTCTTTAATAAGTTTTTTTCTACAGACCAGGGTTTCTCAACCTCAGCATTAGTAACATTTTCAGCCCTTTTTCTGTGTTGTGACAACTTTCCTGTGTATTGCAGGATGTTTAGCAACATCCCGGCCTCCACCCACTAGACACCAGTAGCCCCCTCACCCTCACTGTGACAATCAAAAAAGTCTCCAGATATTGCCATATGTCCCCTGAGGGGCAAAACCGTCCTGAGTTGAAAACCACTGGAAAAAATATTAAACTTGAAACTGTGAGGTCAAGAAGCATTTACACTTAACGTTTTGATATAAATCCCTCAACTACCCTCCAGTAAGCTCGTACCAACTACAGAGCCAGCATAGCATGTGAAAAGGGTCATTCCCTAAACCATCACCAGCACTTGGGCATTAGGAATATTTTTAGGTGTTTTTGGTTCAGTTAGTTTGTTTGTTTCTTTTCTTTCTTTCTTTCTTTTTTTTTTTTTTGCCAGACTCACGGACCACCAAAAAAAAATCATTATCACTTTAAGAAAAGTTATAGACATACTGAAGGAAGTTGGCTCTGGGAAAGTGAGCACAGCAAGTTCGCCTTACCCTTATTTCAGTGCTAAGATTCTTCTGTTTCAGCTTCACAGCTTTTTCGTGAGTGACGGTGAAGTCCCAGCAGAAAATCAGTTTAGCGATTCCTCGGGAGTAAATGTGGGGGTTAATGAAGTTGTTCCGGAAGTACCTAGCCATGCTGGGGAAGGCAGAAACCAAAATACTCAAAAGTTATTGGAGCAGGCATTGGGGAGTGCAGGAATTAAACAAAGGAAAGTCCGATCATCAACAGCGAAAGGCAACATGGCAGAGCCAGCCCCAGGTTCTACTGAACAGTGTGAGCGCCGACATAATGGTTAAGAGCATTGGCTTCAAGATCCGACAGGCCTTGCTGACTATCCTGGATGGCCACCTGGGGGATCTTTGTTGTATTCACTGCTGTGAGCCTCGGTTTCCACATCTATATAATGGGGATAATCATAGGACCCACTCACAGAGCTTTTACGAAAATTGTGTGAGTTTCTGTTAGCTGCAGCACCAAATTGCCCCACACTCAGTGGCTTAAGACAACACACATGTAGGGACGCCTGGGTGGCTCAGTTGGTTAAGTGACTGCCTTCGGCTCGGGTCATGATCCTGGAGTCCCGGGATCGAGTCCCGCATCAGGCTCCCTGCTCAGCGAGGAGCCTGCTTCTCCCTCTGACCCTCCCCCCTCTCATGTACTCTCTCTCAAATGAATAAATAAATCTTTAAAAAAAAAAAAAAAAGGGCGCCTGGGTGGCTCAGTTGGTTAAGCGACTGCCTTCGGCTCAGGTCGTGGTCCTGGAGTCCCTGGATTGAGTCCCGCATCGGGCTCCCTGCTCAGCGGGGAGTCTGCTTCTCCCTCTGACCCTCCCAACCCTACCCCCTCTCATGTGCTCTCTCTCTCAGTCTCTCTCTCTCAAATAAATAAATAAAATCTTTTAAAAAAAAAAAAAGACAACACACATGTATTCTCTTACTGGAAGTCAAAAGTCAGAAAATGGTTCTAAACTCAAGGTGTCGGCAGAGCTGTGTTCCTTCTGGATGCTATAGGGGAAAATCTGTTCCCCTGCCTTTTCCAGCTTCTAGAGGCGGCCCGCACTTCTTGGCTTAGGGCCCCTCCCATCTTCAAAGCCAGGAGAGCAGCATCTCCCATCCTCTCTTTGACCCTCCTGCCTCCCACTTGTAAGGACCCTGATGATTAACTGGCCCATTTTAAGATCCTTAATTTAGTCACATCTGCAAAGTCCCTTTTGCCAGGTAAGGTAACATATTCACGGGTTCTGGGGATTAGGACCTGACATCTTTGGGAGGCAGGGGGCAGTGTTCAGCCCACCACGCGAGGCAATGTAGGGGTTAGAACAGCAAGCTCTTTTTAAAGGCAGACGCTAATATCACGGCGACATCAGCAGGACTCAGTGAAATCAGCCTAGGAAGCATTTAGCACTGAGCCTGACATGTAAAAAAATGCTGATTAAATTTCACTACCTCTCCAAAATCTGCCACCACTGACTTAACAGCAGCTTAAGAAGCATTTCGTAGTTTCAATAAAATAGAACAAAACGAAATCTCATTTTAATTGTTGAGTTATAGTGCTGGAAGTGAGGTTGTTACGGGCTGAATTGTACACCCTAAAAGTCTGTATGTTGAAGTCCTAACCCCCAGTATCTCAGAAAGCGACAGAATTTGGAAGTAGGGTGTTTATAGAGGTAATTTTGTTAAAATGAGGTCATCAAGGTGGGCCCTCATCCAATATGACTGGTGTCCTTATAAGAAGAGGAGATTAAGGGGCACCTGGGTGGCTCAGTCGTTAAGCGTCTGCCTTCGGCTCAGGTCGGGATCGAGCCCCACATCAGGCTCTCTGCTCCGCAGGAAGCCTGCTTCTCCCTCTCCCACTCCCCCTGCTTGTGTTCCCTCTCTCGCTGTGTCTCTCTCTGTCAAATAAATAAAATCTTAAAAAAAAAAGAGGAGATTAAGACTCAGACATGCACTGGAGGGAAGACTATGTGAAGTCACAGTGGGAAGGTAGCCGTCTATACGCCAAGGACGGAGGCTTCGGAAGAAACCAACACACCAACACCTTCACCTTAGACTTCCAGCCTCCAGAACTTGAGAAAACACATTTCTGTGTTTAAGCCACCCAGCCTGCGGTACATGGTTATGGAAGACAAAGGTTGAACACCTGTACCTCCTCTTGGACAGTTGTCCCTTTGACAACTGTCCAGCCGTGCCCTTCTTGTCATAGAAACAGTTGGGTCGGGGCGCCTGGGTGGCTCAGACGGTTAAACGTCTGCCTTCGGCTCAGGTCATGATCCCAGGGTCCTGGGATCGAGCCCCACATCGGGCTCCTGGCTCAGCGGGGAGCCTGCTTCTCCTCCCTCTGTCTCTCCCCCTGCTCATGCTCTCTCTCTCTCTCTCTCTGTATCTCTGTGTCTCAAACGAATAAATAAAATCTTTAAAAAAAAAAGAAAGAAATAGTTGGGTCACTACAACCTTATTTTCAGACTGACCGATTTCTTTGAAAACACACAAAAGCCTCTCTTCTTATCCAAACTTACAGTCTGTGGCTTTTTTTAAATATATTTTTTAAATTTTTTAAAAAGATTTTATTTATTTATTTGAGAGAGAGAATGAGAGAGAGAGCACATGAGAGGGGGGAGGGTCAGAGGGAGAAGCAGGCTCCCCGCCGAGCAGGGAGCCCGAGGCGGGACTCGATTCCGGGACTCCAGGATCATGACCTGAGCCGAAGGCAGTCGCTTAACCAACGGAGCCACCCAGGCGCCCCAGTCTGTGTTTTAAAACAGGAATGATCAGACAGCAATAGGAAGTCAAAATTGCAGAGAAACTGTTCTCTGGGTCGCTTTTGAGACTCTTGAATTTTACCTAAATCTAAACAGAGCTTAGAATCAAGAAATGCAGACGCTCCATACCTGAATAGCAAACTGAAAAAACAGATGACCAAACATGCTCCAATTGTGAAGAGGTAGGCCAGCTGCATGTTGTAGGATGCCCCACCGTTCCTGTGCCCGATCGTAGAATTGGTGTAAAAGCCATAGTACATCACTGTGTCTCTAAAATAACCCTGAAAGGGACAATAAACGCTAGGTCAGGTGGGTCTACCGAGAAAACGATGACTATGGTCAGTCAGCACAGTGCATCTTTCCCATCTGCAAGAAACTCGCATCAGTCAGTTTAGACATTTTATTTGCAGAGAAAGGGTACCCAAGGCCGCTGAGAATGTAGACATTTTATCACTAGGCTCTTCAAGTTGGAAAGGGCTCTCAAACCCTCCTTACAATGGAGGAACCCAGCTGTCACCACCTGAAACAGTGATCAAGCAAAGCATGACTAAAACCAGAAAAGCCAGCCATTATGGGCCTCTGTCATCTGTTAAGTATTATGGTCAAACATGTTCAATAGGAAAGGAATCAAGCCATTAGGTCTAAATTTCAATTTATGGGAAATAATGGGTCAGAGTAACAAATCAGACAGACCATAAGGAAACAATCAGACAATTCCAGAAGGTAGGACATTGGTGTCTGCATGACAACTGGCCTGGTTTCTACAACAATGTCAAGAAAAAAGGGGGCTGTGTCTGGAGAGATCATTCTAGATTAATTGAGAATTCAGAGAAAACACAAGCAAATGCAAAGTATGGGCCTTAACTAGATTCTGGTCTGAATGAGCAAGCTAGGAAAGACATTTTGGGGACAACTGGAAAATTTGAATATGGTTTGGATTTTAGATAATATTAATTTTTAATTTTGCTAGATGTAAGAACTGCAGAAAGTGTCCTTATTTTTCAGAGATGCATGTTGAAGAAATTCGGAGTAAAATATCCTGATGTCGGGCGCCTGGGTGGCTCAGATGGTTAAGCGTCTGCCTTCGGCTCAGGTCATGATCCCGGGGTCCTGGGATCGAGTCCCGCATCGGGCTCCCTGCTGGGCGGGGAGCCTGCTTCTCTCTCTGCCTCTGCCTCTCTCTCTCTCTGACTCTCATGAATAAAAAAAAATTAAAAAAAAAAATTAAAAAAAAATATCCTGATGTCTGTAATTTACTGTAAAATGCTTCCAAAAACTAATAAGATAAAACAATATGGCAAGATATTAATAATTTAAAAACCTATGTAGTGGGTATATGAATGTTTACTTACTATTCTTTATTTTCCTATATGTTTGAAATTTTTCATAATAAAATGTTTCATATATACAAATATAAAAAATATACATCAGGGGCGCCTGGGTGGCTCAGTTGGTTAAGTGTCTGACTTTGATCTCAGCAGAGGTCTTGATTCTCACGGTTGTGAGTTCAAGCCCTGTGAGTTCCATGCTAGGCATGGAGCCCACTTAAAAAAAAAAAAAATATATATATATATATATATATATATATACACACACACACACACATCATAACGAGGAGAAAAATGAAGATGAAATTTACAGAATAATTCCACTTCAATGCAGCTATCCCAAGGAAAAATTTTTAACAGAAAAAGAAATTAAAAAGATAAATGGAAGAACCTGACTTTGAACATTCTACTTCAAGAGTCAGCAAATTTTTTCTGTAAAGAGCTAGACAGTAAATCTCTTTGGCTCGGTAGCTACAGCCACAACTCCACTCAGCCACCATAGCAGGAAGGTATCATAGACACATAAACAAAGGGATGTGGCCATGTTCCAAAAGGACTTTATTTATGGGCACAAAGTTTAATTTCACGTATAATTTTCATGTTTCACAAAATGTTATCCTTGTTTTGATTTTTTTTTTCAACCATTTAAAAATGTAGAAACAGGTGGCATGCCAGATTTGGCCCCGGCTGTTGTTTATCAATCCCTGGCCTATAGAATCCCAATGGCAGGAATGTCTTCTGGAAAGTAAACTCACAAGACAGGGGCCATATGTCTCTCAGTAGGGAGCTGGGTAATGAAAAAGGATACTGCAGATCTATATAGATGCTCAAGATACATAGTGAAGCAAAAAATGTTGCAAAGGAAGACCTGTAGTATCCTGGGTTTTTTTAAATTATTTTTTTAAAGATTTTATTTATTTATTTGAGAGAGAGAGAGAGCACAAGAGGGGGAAGGGGCAGAGGGAGAAGCAAACTCCCTGCTGAGCAGGGAGCCTGATGCGGGATTCGATCCCAGGACCCTGAGATCATGACCTGAGCCAAAGGCAGATGCTTAACCAACTGAGCCACCCAGACGGCCCATCTTTTTTTTTTTTTTTTTTTTTTTTTAAGATTTTATTTATTTATTTGACAGAGAGAGAATGAGAGAGCACATGAGAGGGGGGAAGGTCAGAGGGAGAAGCAGACTCCCTGCCGAGCAGGGAGCCCGATGCGGGACTCGATCCTGGGACTCCAGGATCATGACCTGAGCTGAAGGCAGTCGCCCAACCAACTGAGCCACCCAGGCGCCCCTCAGATGGCCCATCTTTTTATTATTATTTTTTAAATGTTTACCTATCTACCTACGTATCGACCTAAGTATCTAACTGCATATAGAAAGAAAACAGTGGACAAAGATATGCTCTGAGCTGGGGCATTAGACAAAGGGAAAAGGCTAACATGGACTTTCACTTAGTTTGCTCTCTTCTACAGTAGGAACTTTTCAAAAGGAGCACTGTATATTGTGGAAAGAAAAATAAGAAAGAAAAGGTAGCTCTATGAACACCAATATGACAAGTCCACCACAGAGCAGGTGAAAGAAAGCAAGTCATAGGTGGTATATATGAATAATTCATCTTTTGTTAAAAAATCAAAAGAAATGGATGCATATGTACATGTGTATGTATGTGCATGTGTGTGTGTCCGTATATGCACAGAAAAAGAGATCGTGAACAACACAAACTATTAATATGGTTACCTCTAAAGACAGAAAGTCTACTGTGTTGTGTGCATGTCACTTTGGGGGAGAAAAAGAAACGTTTTAAAGCCCCACTTTCAGGGCACCTGGGTGGCTCAGTCGGTTAAGCGTCTGATTCTTGATTTCAGCTCAGGTCATGATCTCAGGGTCCTGGGATCAAGTTCCATGTCAGGCTCTGTGCTCAGCAGGGAGTCGGCTTGAGAGTCTCTCTCTCCCCCTGCTTCTCCCCCCCTTCTCTCTCATTCTTTCTCTCTCTCAAATAAATAAATAAATCTTTAAAATAAACAAACAAATAAAGCCCCACTCCCCCTATCATCTAACTCCCAGGCAAAGTGAGAGGTCTGGAAGGGTGACTGGCAACGTATGTCCGGGGGATTCCCAGCTGGTGAACTCCGGGTAGGCAAAATGAAGGACTTACCACCCCAGTGAAAAACTCCAGTCCGGTGAACTGGAGGGTGTTCTTCTCGGCCACCGTAAACTGAGGGATTATGATAAAGCTGAAGGTCACAATGAATGAGAAAATGTTGAACTTCAAAAGCCACCTCAGAAAGTTGAAATAGGAGAGGACGCTGGTTCCGAACTTGCCTCCGATGACCTTGAGCGTCTTCTGCCATAGGCTGATGGAATCGAGCAGTTCTGACAGGCTGTTCTTAGATCTCCGGTACGCCTGGGGTAGGGACACCAAGCATGAGGCTTAACATTCCCTCAACAAACACCTACTGAGCAGGTCCCCTAAAAGCAAAAACAACCACTGTGTCTAGAGTATTATAACATGCCAGGCATGCACTAAGCATGTTTGTAAATGTTATCTCATTTAATCTGCGGGACCACTCTTTAAGGTGAGTGCTCTTATTACCTCCCCAGGTTTGCTGTCAAAGGTGACACTCACAGTAGCTCAGCTGTCCAAATAACTCAGCAACCTCTTAGATTTTTGCATCCCTACCTGGTTTCTCTGCACCTAGACTGACCCAATTTCTACAGCTTTCAATGAAAAGCCCTGAATTTTGCTTTCTCTTCCCCTTGGGTCCCTTTCATTCCCACTCTGCCACCTCCCTGTTTTTACTCTCTTGTTATGCCCATTTTATTGACTGCAATAGAGGCCTCTTACCCGTGAAATGGAGTTTAGACACTGAGCACAGCAGTTGAGCTCAAGCATACGACGGGACCGCTTACTTTTCTCTTTGTCAACCATTTTCCTGTGGGGAACGGCAGAAGAAAGGGAGAGACACCCATGCTGTAATGATTTCGTTCCCAAAATATTTACTGAGTGACTATGATGTGCTAGGCAGCGCCCGGGTAGCAAGACAAAAGAAAATGATTTCCCTGGCTCATGGAGCAGACATCTCTACCAGTTGGGAGAGAAAGACAATAAACAATAAATAAAAGGTGTACTATGGAAAAAAAAAAGGAAAATAGAGCAAGGTAAGGAAATGGGAAATGCTGGAATGGGGACTGTGCTATAATTTGAAATAGCACAATATTCAAGCAAAGTCCTTTAGGAAGGGAGGGGTTAGTAGTATGGATAAGGGATTGTTGTGTCCATAGGGAACAGCCAACGTGGGACCCCAAGGAGGCTGGGATGGCTAGAATGGAATGAGCAGGGGGAAGGGAGGAGGGTTTGAGTGATAATGAAGGGTCCTATAAGTCAGTGGTCCTCAACCTGGGGAGATTTTGCCCCCCAAGGGACATTTGGCAATGTCAGGAGACATTTTTGGTTGTCAAACTCTGGGGGAGAGAGGCTTGCTACTAACATCTAGTGGGTAGAAGGCAGGGATGTGCTAAAACCCTCTACAATGAACTGGACAGAACCCCACAACAGAGAATGATCCAGCCCCCAATATCAGGCATACCGGGGTTGAAAAATCCTGCTGTAAAGTCTTTGGGGCCCCTATAAGGCCCTTATCCTGTGACAGAGGCAGCCATGCAGTTTGAAATGGAAGAGTGTTTTCAGAAAGATCCAGCCACAATTGGGTTCTTTACCTTTCCATGAATTCATTGCATCTACCTTGCTCTGGTTCTTTTCTGGTTTTCTTTGTCCATCCAAACGCCCACCCCCACATCACGGTCTTCCAAGGCTCAGCTCACATGCCCTCCTGCTTTACCCAAGTAGGCTGTATCACTCCAGCTAGTCCTGTCACTGCAGTTTCCTCTACCTTGATTTGGCCTGATTTCCTTTTTCTCAAGTGAAAGTTACTTATTGACAAATCCATCTCCCCTGTCAGACTTTGTAAGTTATCTTTGCAGCCCCAGAACAATTGCATCGTTGAATTATTTATTAGCCGTTGTTGCATTCACTCCACTAGTTTCCAAGGGTACAAATTGCAAAAGAAAAAGGATGAGGAACAGTAAATGTGAAGTCTGACGGCTAAAACAGCCGTCATTCTTTCACTGTTTTTTTTTTTTAGTTCCTGCCGTTAGAAAGCTTCTGAGGACTTCTTTCTTTTTTTCTTTCCAGTAAACTTTGAATTTTAGAGTAATTTGAGATTTACAAAAAAGTTACAAAAACAGTACAGAAAATTCCTATACACTACTCACCATTATTTTTTCCTATTAACATCTTACATACATTTATTTATTTATTTATTTATTTAATAGAGAGGGATGGGGGAGTAGCAGAGGGAGAGGGAGAGAGAGAACCTTAAGCAGGTTCCATGCTCAGTGCGGAGCCCAACGTGAGGCTCAATCTCACGACCCTGAGACCACAGCCTGAGCTGAAATCAAGAGTTGGACACCCAGGCTATTGAGCCACCCAAGCACCCCAACATCTGACATTTCCATGGTAGTTGTTGAAACTAAAAAATCAACATTAGCACATATACCAGTACCTAAACTCCACACTATTCTGATTTCACTCGTTCTTCCACTAATGCCATGTTCTATTCCAGGACCCCCTCCCACAATCTATTTAGTTTTTATGTCTCTTTCGAATCCTCTAGTCTGTGACAATTTTTCTGACTTCCTTTATTTCTGATGACCTTGACAATTTTGAGGAGTACTGGTCAGGTATTTTGTAGAATGTCCTTCCACTGGGGTTTGCCTGATTTTTTTCTCTGGGCATACTGGGGTTATGGTCTTTAGGAGAGAGTACAACAGAGTGGATGTGCTCTTCTAATCACATATCTCTGGGGATGCTAACCTTGATCACCCGGCCAAGGGAGTGTTGGCTAGACCACATCACTAGAAAGTCACTCTCCCTCAGTTCCCATGCTCCACCCTTTGAAAGCACATCACTAAGCACAGCCCACACTCCAGGTAAGAAGAGAGAGGAACATCTATATAGATTATTTGAAATTCTTCTATAGGAAGATTGTCCCTTCTTTTGCATTTATATATTTCTTTTTTTTTTCTTTAAGATTTATTTATTCGAAAGAGAGAGAGATAGAGTCCGAGTGGGAGGGGCAGAGGGAGAGGGAGAGAATCTCAAGCAGACTCCACACTGAGCGCAGAGCCTGATGTGGGGCTCAATCTCACAATACTGAGATCACAACCTGAGCCAAAACCAGGAGCTGGACACCCAACTGACTGCACCACCCAGGCACCCCCATTTTTTATCTTTCTGAGATGGGACAAAGTAGAAGACTGAAATTCATGTGAAATCTGATAAAGAAGAAAAGCTTTGGGTCCATACTTAAGGTTCCTTTTCTCTTCCATGGTTCTTGGTTGAGTCCTGATGGCTTTAATTCTGTCTCTAGATGTCATTGGTATCAGAGATGCGATTAACTTTTGTCCTGTGGAGGAAAATAAATTGAGTTTAATTTTGTTTCCTTTCACAGAATATCAGCATTTTAAAGTATGGCACTGAACTTCAAGCATGTTTATTTTTTATAAATTTTACTTATTTATTTATTTGAAAGAGAGTGAGCATGCAAGCGCAAGAGTTGGAGAAGGGGCAGAGGGAGAAGCAGACTCCCCATTGAGCCCAAAACAGGATGTGGGGCTCAATCCTGGGACTCTGGGGTCATGACCTGAGCTGAAGGCACACACTTAACAGACTGAGCCACCCAGGTGTCCCTGAGCGTGTTTTTATAAGAGTACAAGGAAAGAAGAATAAATATATGGACTCAGTGATCCCCAAGCCACAAATGAAAACAAGACAACATGGTTTGTTGTTGTTTTTTTTAAGTAGGCTCCATGCCCAGCATGGAGCCCAATGTAGGGCTTGAACTCACAACCCCAAGATCAAGACCTGAGCTGAGATCAAGAGTTGGACACTTAACTGACTGAGCCACTCGGGCACCCCAATGTGGTGTATTTTTTTATTAACCTCAAAGCCAAAGCAAATGATAATGTTTGCATGCAATTCCAATTTGATATTTTTCTTTTTTCTATGACAAGAAGCATTCAGTGAAGCCACAAGCCCTTGCACGTCTGGTCAGGCTTGCTCTCCTCTCCTACTTGAATGTCCGAATCACTTTCACTTGACCCCCACACTCCAGGCCCAGGCACCTTCTTTACATTTCTTGACTGTTTTCGTATGCTCTTCTGGCCCCTGGAATGGTCCCCCATCTTCTCCCGATAACTCACATTCACATCTTCACTCAGCATGGCAGATATTGTGGGTCACCTACCCCAGTCATTTCTTCTTTTTAATAGAATCCTGATTTTGTTTAGGAATCTACCCCCTCTTTCCCAAGGCCCTGAACTTCTGCAGGGTAGGACCCATCTTCAGGCACAGGGGGTGAGCCCCATGAGTCCAAGCTGATCCTTGCAGGTGACTGATTTAGGCATAAGCACGTGACAAGATGCTGGCCAATGTTCTGTGATGGGTGATCTGCTGAGGAGTTTCTTGGAAAAGGTTTCTTCCTTCTCAAAAAAGAAAAACTAAAAAACCCCCACAAAAACTCCAAGAAAAAGATCCATCTCCCTCTGGATGTTGTTGTGGCCACATCTGAAGCCTGGAACTGCGATCACCATCTTGTAACGATGAGGAAGCCAACCGGGGGGCTGACCAGGGCAACAACAGAGGGAGTGGGCTGGCTCCCTGGTTGAGTTATTGAGCTGAACTCTTCATTTGACCTAGTTGAGGTGAAAAGGAAATCCCCCAAAGAGGGTCACCAAACTCACTCTGCTGAAGACGAGAAATTTGTGTCTCTCCTGAGAGGGAAGGGTGGCTCAACAGAGAAGAAGAAAGGACAAAGAGGAGGAGGAAAGAACACAGAGATGTGGGGAGACAGTAGCATGAGAGGAGACACCCCAATCTTTTATAAAGGGGTTAAACCCACAGAATGCTTTAGTGTGAATGGATTTTTCTCCCTCCTAGACATCACTGAGGCTGGACTTGATGTCTGGAGTATGATGGGATGACATAGAAACAGCAGTCAAGAACCCAGGGTTTGGCCTCAGGAACAGAAAGGCAGGGAGGTAGTGTCAGCTAAGACCTGGTTTCATGGCAGACTTGGCAATAAAGGCCATCCTATGTTGCCGAATCCAGGGTGGGGGAGGAACTGGACCAAAGCAAGACAGCGGTGAAAGCATCGGGCTTGGAAACCAGGCAGACCTGCATTTGAGCCCTGGTTCTGCCAAGGCTCACCAAGCAAATGGAAGTGATTTAATTTAATTTAATTTACTCACCAAGCAAATGGAAGTGACAAATGTGCCTACCTCAAAGTGTGGGGAATAAAGTCAAACTATATTCAATGGATAACAAAAAGGAAGTATTCAGCAGAGTGTTGGGCACAGAAAGTGAGCTTGATCAAGGTGAACTCCTTTCTAGGTGTTAGGTGCTCCCAAAGTGACCCCTTCCTGGGTCTGTCACATCCTCAGATCATCTATAAACTTCAACCTACTTGATGTCTTAAAACTAAATAATCCTGGGGCGCCTGGGTGGCTCAGTTGGTTAAGCAACTGCCTTCGGCTCAGGTCATGATCCTGGAGTCCCGGGATCGAGTCCCGCATCAGGCTCCCTGCTCAGCAGGGAGTCTGCTTCTCCCTCTGACCCTCCCCCCTCTCATGTGCTCTCTCTCATTCTCTCTCTCTCAAATAAATAAATAAAATCTTAAAAAAAAAACAAAAAACTAAATAATCCTGTAGACAAGTTGGAAGCCTTCCTTGCTCCCTTCCTAACTCCTTTCTCCCAGGGTCTCACTACCTTGGAGGTTTTCATGTGAAGTACAAGGAGTGTCTATGCCCACACTTCCTGGGCTATGAAGGGTCTGAGAAAATGATTCATTCAAAGATGTTGAAAACCGCAACAACTGCTTGCTCTTTTTGTCATTCGGGCTGCTGAAACTCTGAGAGTCTGTCACATCGATGTCAGAAGCGGATGAGACCATGCCGAAGCTTGAGATCACCAGCATCTTTTCTGGAACAACCTCAGATGGAACATTCTCAACCTCAACGATGATTTCATTCACTTGGTCATCAGAGAGCATCTCTTGCCTCCTCCCAGCTTTGTTCTCCACCGGAGTGGCCTTCCAGAGCAGTCACACTGACATTGTTGGGAGCCGCCAGGAAAAGTGATGACAATCACAGAGGGATGCCCCATTCACATTTTTTTAAAGACCAGGATGAGATTGCCAAAGCCAGCCCTACACAAATCACAACATAACTCCCCACATCTACACCAGAGGGGTCTCTTCATGAAGAGATGTGTTTTCCTACAGACACCTCTGTCTTGGTAGCTAGGTAAGAAATTGGAAACAGAATCCTTCATTAAAGACAATAGGGTTCTAGAAACAGAAGGCAGGGATTCTTCTAAATGACTCATAACCAAAGGGCAAGATTTTCCTTTTTAATTTGGTGCCCCTGGCCTAAAACTTATATTTTATATTTATAATTTTACATGCCTATATAAACCCAGACGGGTTTATAGTAATAACAATTATTATCTCCTGACTGCCTTGGGTAGCCAACCCTACCACTTGTCTGTACCCTGTATCCGATCTCCATTTTTCTCATACCCCCAGAAGTTTCCTTTCCTGTGTAGGCACTGGGCTCAACTAAAATTCTCCTAGCTTCCTTTGTCGCTAAAGATAGACTTGTAACCCCACCATTCTGGTCAATGAGACATAGAGCGTCCAAGAATCCTTTTTAAAAGGTGATAGTCTGCCTGGTTCCACTTTTTGCCCTTCACCATTTCTCCTTCTGGCTTACCAGAGACTGCCATTTTGAAAACAAGAGGATACACGTTCAGCTGTGAAGAATGGTGGAGAAAGAAGCTAAGAAGGAGCTCAGTCCTGAGAGCATCCTGGGCAGAGCTGCCATACAAACTGTGAACCCCCTCCCACAACACTTCTTGTTACATGAGAAAAATAAATCCCTTTATTGTGAAGCCGTCCGACTTCAGTGCCAGGCACCTGAACACAATTCCCACCCAACAGACATGATTTGGAAATCACCTCAGCCACGTCATTTATTTAATAGTTGGGGAAACTGAGGTGCACAAAAATAAATTGACCTCTACTCTCATCATACTCTCATAAAATGGCAGAATTGGACCAGGACTCTCCTCCTTATCCCCATCAATGATAATGAACAGTAACAATACCTGTCATTACTACAGGCCAAGTACTTTAGATTATATAATTTAATTTTCATAATCACCCTATGCATTATGTACAATAACCCCCATTTTATAGCTAAGAAAACTGAGGCCCAAAAAGGTTATTTGTCTAAAGTCACAAAACCAGCAAGTAGCAGAGCTGAGACTTAAACCCAGGTCTGTCTGGACCCAAAGAAGGGCCTCTTAATCCCTTCACCCTGGCCCCTTCCTCTAATGAGATGCTGATGTATCATTTATTCATTCACAAATAAATGAATATTTGTGAGTACCTACCACGTGCCAAATGCTTCATAGGTGCATAACATAATCCATCAAAGTGACGTTTTATCAGGAGGCTGTCCACCATCTAACTGTACATGGTTTGAGAATCCAAACCATTGCAAAACAAAATGGTGAAGAAAACCAGATTCATCTCTGGGTCCTCTATTTCCTTAATTCTCTCTGCCTTCTGGGACTCCCTTTCACCAGAAGCCCCAACCTCAGGCTGGCTAGATTAAGCAGTCCAATGAAGTTAAAAGCCATTTTCTTTCCTCAATAGTTAAAGTCATTTTCTGCTCTAGTGGGAACCAAATAGAGAGGGTGATCATTTATACCTCCATGGTTTTCCCTCCCAAGTAGCAATACCCAACCCTTGTAGAAGTTATACCTCTCCTTTTTTTTTTTTTTAAGATTTTATTTATTTATTTGACAGAGAGAGACACAGCGAGAGAGGGAACACAAGCAGGGGGAGTGTGAGAGGGAGAAGCAGACTTCCCGCGGAGCAGGGAGCCCGATGCGGGGCTCGATCCCAGGACCCTGGGATCATGACCTGAGCCGAAGGCAGTCGCTTAACCGACTGAGCCACCCAGGCACCCTGAAGTTATACCTCTTCTTGAGAAGGCTCTTAAAGAATGAGGCTAGGGGCGCCTGTGTGGCTCAGTCAGTTAAGCCTTCGACTCTTGATTTCAGCTCAGGTCATGATCTCAGGGTCGTGGGATCAAGGCCCATGTCGGGCTCTGTGCTCAGTGTAGAGTTTGCTTGAGATTCTCTCTCTCCCCCTGCCCCTACTCCTGCTCTCTCTCTCAAATAAATAAATAAAACTTAAAAAAAAAAAAATGAGGCTAAAGGCTGTCATATCGGCTAGAATGCCAGAAGGTGAGACATGGTTTTAGGTCATGAGGCCCTTCAATTCGCATTATTGTATAGAGAATACCATCAGTTGGTTTACTCTTTGTTGTCCATAGATTTGCCTCCAAGTTTCAGCATTCCCTGGCCTCTCTCCTCTTTTGCTTCCTTTTTATCTCTCAGTCTCTGCCTCTGATCAGACCTTCACCACCACACACAGTGATCCTTACAGGGCTTCCTAACTGATTTCCCAGCATTCTGTCTTTCTCTGGTCTGACTTCTCCTAAACTCCAGCATCATAATAATTCTACGATTATTCAGAAAAATGTTGATCAATGCAGACTCAGAGGCCCTTGTTCCTGTAACTCATTCACAAATTAATTCAACAAATATCTCTGAGCATCTACTATGTGTCAAGCTCTGTACTAAGTCCTGCAAGGTAATTCTACCTTCAACTCTTTGCTTCCCCCCTGTCCTTCCCACCACATGAGCCAGTACATTCACCTTGGGCCCACATGAGTTGGGTTTCTGGCACATGAGACCAGAAGAGTCCTGATGAAGACACCTTGATATCCAGGAGAGAAAAAAACCCTGCATAACTAAAAGAAAACCCCGTTATGGTAAATTAAGCAAGTACTACATCAGTTACCACACCGGAAGCCTAAATGAAATAGTGATGTCTGCATTGCCTTGAAAACATTCCTCTCTAGGGTTGATTTTTTTGGGATACCACCAATTTAAGCCTTACCTTGGGGTGACTCGTGCCAGTCGCATCCAGACAATGGTGGGTTTCCATAAGCTGGGCGGGGGCTACTTTCACCCACATAAGCAGGGTTCACTGGAACGAAGAGTTAGGACACATCACCAATTAATCCCACCATACTAGACATTACTAAGCACATAATGGTCAGTAAGACCCCGACCTTGACCTTGAGGTCCTAACAGACTAATGATTGAGTGCTTGGGTGGAAAGTAGGTCATAAATATGGAAACAATGTTATTAAGTACAAACAGCTTCAATCGATGGTTTTCATTTAAGTATAAGCCATGGTTAAAAATAATTGTTACAAGGGAATATTACTCAGCCATAAAAACAATGAAATCTTGCCATTTGCAATGACATGGATGGAGCTAGAGGATATAATGCTAAGCGAAATAAATCAGAGAAAGATAAATACCATATGATCTCACTCATATGTGGAATTTAAGAAACAAACAAGCAAAGGGAAATTAAAGAGAGAGACAAACTAAGAAACAGACTCAACTATAGAGAACACACTGATGGTTACCAGAGGGGAGGTGGGGTGGGGGGTTGGGTGAAATAGGTGATGGGAATTAAGAGTACATTTACCACGATGAGCACTGGGTAATGTATGGAATTGCTGAATCACTATATTGTACCCCTGAAACTAATATAACACTGTATGTTAACTATACCGGAATTAAAATTTAAAACTTGATAAAATTTAAAAAATTATTACATTAAGATCCTGGACATACCTACACATATGTAACTGAAAAACGAGTTTTACCAAACAATACTTTGCTTGACTACATAAGAGGCATTCCGATCTATTCTTATTCTATTCCATTCCCCCTTTTTTTTTTTAGGTATGCTCCACGCCCAGCAGCTCAATGCAGGACTTGAACTCATGACCCTGAGATCAAGACCTGAGCTGAAATCAAGAGTCAGATGCTTAACCGACTGAGCCACCCAGGTGCCCCCTATTCCATTCTTTTCTATCTCATTTTTCAGAATTAATTTCACAACTTGTTAATGGGCTACAACTCGAGTTTAAGAAATACTTGTCTAGGAGGTTGAGATAAATAGGCAGACCAGAGGATGTTTAGGGCACTGAAACTATTCTGTATGATACCATAAGGGTGTTACATGTTATTACACATTTGTTCAAACTCATAGAATTTATAGCACCAAGGGTGAACCCTGATGTTAACTATGGACTAGAGATGATAATGATGTGTTGGTGTAGGTGCATCAATTATACGACATGTATCATCCTGGGGCCAGATGTTGATAATGGGAGAGTCTTTGCTATGTGGGGAAAGGAGTTCTGTGGAAAATCTCTGTACCTTCCCTGCCCTCAATTTTACTGTGAACCTAACCCTGTTCTAAAAAAAATTAAGACAAAAAAAAAAAAAAAAAAACAAAGAAAGAAACTTGTCTAGATGATCATAGAAGTTCCTTCTATTTCTAAAATGTTATGATAACGCATGAATAAATTTGAAAGATGGCATGATTTGCTTAGGGACAGAGTCTACTCTCAGCATCTACGCAACAGTGTCATATTTCAGTATATTTTTATTCAGCCCACAGTAAACATTAAAAGCTAAACTCCGTGACAGAGAAAATGGAACACAGTTTGATGTGAACAATGCACAAAATTACATTGCAGGAAGTTCTGAACTTCTTGCTGGGTATCAGTTCCCAGCTTTGTTACTGGCTGATGCCCTCCAGCATGTTACCTAACCTCTCTGAGCTACAATATCGTAGTCTGTAAAACAGGAATAATGATGGGAGCTTCACATGGCATTGTTGAGGGAATCACATCAGTTAACACATGCAAAGTGCTTAACGTAATCCTGGAACATAGTAAACTATTGCTATATATTAACTATTGTGGTAGATCCATTGTTATTCAGCATATATCACACCACCATTCCCTGGACACCTCCCCTGAAGTTGGGCTTGGTCATGTGACTTTGATCAATGGAACATGGCAGAAGTGACCGTATGCCAGGTCCATGTCAAAACCTTAGACACACTTGTGTGTTTTTGCTTGTCACTTCGAGCACTTCCAGCTTATGTCATGGAACAACAATGCCCCCAAGTGGCTCCCTGCTTCAAGAAGAAGGACACTAGGCTCTAGACACAGAACCCATGACCTGGAGTCAAGCACAGCCACACCCAGCCTAGTTCAATCAAACTCCAAGCAAACCTGAACATGTGTGAGTGAGAAATAAATGCTTCTTTATTGTACAACACCGGTTTTCTGCATCTGTTTGTTATGCAGCATTACTGTGGCAATAGCTAACTGATACATCCTTACCAATACTGTTGCTATTAATTCAGTTAGCACTGCTTTAGTACCTACTGTGACCAGGCACTGTGACACTAGGAAAATCACCTAGAGCTTTAAAGAATACATGGATGAAGATAGGTTCTTAATGAGGGCATCATCTATAATGACGGCATAGTATGGACAAGTGATTGCTAAGGGCTACAACCCTGGTCCTACAAAGGAGTCCAGAAAAAGAAGTCATACTCAACTACTTTTTTTTTTTTTTAAAGATTTTATTTATTTATTCATGAGAGACAGAGAGAGAGAGAGAGGCAGAGGGAGAAGCAGGCTCCCAAGGAGCAGGGAGCCCGATGCGGGACTCGATCCCAGGACCCCGGGATCGTGACCTGAGCCGAAGGCAGACGCTTAACCATCTGAGCCACCCAGGCGCCCTACTTTTTTTTTTTAAAGATTTTATTTATTTGACAGAGAGAGACACAGCGAGAGGGAACACAAGCAGGGGGAGTGGGAGAGGGAGAAGCAGGCCTCCCACTGACCAGAGAGTCTGACACGGGGCTCAATCCCAGGACCCTGGGACCATGACCTGAGCCGAAGGCAGATGCTTAACGACTGAGCCACCCAGGCGCCCCTACATTTTTTTTTTTTAAGCATAAGTAGTCAGGGGCACCTAGGTGGCTCAGCTGGTTAAGCATCTGCCTTCAGCTCAGGTCATGATCCCAGGGTTCTGGGATCGAGCCACACATCAGGCTCCCGGCTCAGTGGGAGTTTGCTTCTCCCTCTCCCTCTGCCCCTCCCTCCGACTCGTGTTCTCTCTTGCACACTCTGCTCTCTCTCTCTCTCTCAAATAAATAAATAAATAAATTTTTAAAAAATAAATAAATAGGGGCACCTGGGTGGCTCAGTCCATTAAGTGGCTGCCTCCGGCTCAGGTCATGATCCCCGGGTCCTGGGATCAAGCCCCACATCTGACTCCCTGCTCAAGAGAGCCTGCTTCTCTCTCTCTGTCTGCCTACCGCTCTGCCTACTTGTGCTTTCTCTCTGTGTGTCAAATAAATAAATAAAATCTTTAAAAAAGAAAGAAAGAAAGAAAGAAAGAAAGAAAGAAAGAAAGAAAGAAAGAAAGAAAGAAAGAAGAGAAAGAAAGAAAGAAAGAAAAAGAAAGAAAGAAAGAAAGAAAGAAAGAAAGAAAGAAAGAAAGAAAGAAAGAAAGAAAGAAAGAAAGAAAGAAAGAAAGAAAGAAAAAGAAAGAAAGAAAAAGAAAGAAAGCAAGCATAAGTGGTCAGGAATCTTTTTGCATTTGCCCTGATCCTACCCAGCAATAATACAGGATAAGTAAGAGTCAGGCTTTGGGTCAGAGAGACTGGTTCTTTCAATATAACAGTGAGATAATCTTGGGCACTGTGCCTCTGAGCCTCAGTTTTCCCATCTATAAATAGGGAGAGCAGTAGTGGCTGTATGAAAGGTGGTTGTTCAGATTTAAACAAGACAATAAAAGTAAAGTGCTTGGCAGAGGTCTCCAGGGCATAGGAAACACTCAAAATCTGCTTGGCATTATTAGCTCCACTTGCATTGGGGTAGGGATGTGTTTATCAATCTTTTTTTCATTATTTGTCCCCTAAAGAGTCTTTTTAGATATTTCTTTCCAATTATCCTCCACCCATGAAATTTTAATACTACAGCTATACTGTGTATCTGCTTACATATGTGTATCAGATGTTTATATATAAAAAGAGGAAGACTTTTCTCGCCTTTCAAGAATAAATTTTACCGGGGCACCAGGTGGCTCAGTAAGTTAAGCATCCCACTCTTGGTTTCAGCTCAAGTCATGATCTCAGGGTCCTGGAATCAAGCCTTCTGTCAAGCTCTGTGCTCAGGAGAGAGTCTACTTGAGATTCTCTCTCTCCCCCTCCCCTAACTCTCCCCCACTCATGCATGCACATGCACTCTCTCTAAAATAAATAAATAAATCTTTAAAAAAAGAATAAATTTTACCCCCTTGGGATTTATATTGCTCCCCCCCACCACCCCACTGAGAATGCATGACATAAAGGTTTGGAATAGCCCAAATGAATGTTTTTCTATGCAAATGTGTATTAGTCAGTGTTTTTCATCAGTGCATGACAAGGCATTCCATCCTTTCTTCTCAGCCTGTTTCAAACTCCTCCCCATCCACCCTCTCAGGCATAAGGAATCCTCCATCAGCACCAACCTGCACTTGGGTCTCTCATTCTGTTCTTGGCTGAACACTCCTTCTCTTTTCTGGATCTCAGGGCGGGGGGGGGGGGGGCTCTCGTGTAATGAACTGGCTCCCTTTACTAGACAGCAAGTCCCTATTCCCTCCTGCAGGATAAGAACTTTAGAATTTCCTTTGCCTCCCAGAGCTAAACCTTTGCACACAGTAGATTCTGAGGATGACATGATTGTTCACATATGAATAGTCTGCTTGCTAATTTTGTCTTTTTTCAGTCTTGACATGCTGGTGTCACCCACCTTTATGCTTTAAGTAACCTGAGGACAGAGCTGCCTCTTTCTACCCTTGTCCCCCCAGTAGGTTCTGAATACCCACTTGCTAACTGAACAGTAGAGACTAAATCTAGCCCACAAGTGATTTTGTTTGCCCAGTTCAGTGTTTTGATTTTTTTTTCTTTATTTTGGAGCATTTAAAAATCAGGAGGTTTCACATAAAAACCCAGCGTTCTTCCTTCTTTAGAAAAATCTGAGGATTTGGTCATACTGAGCCCACATTTCCCCATAACCCCAATGGGCTGGCACAGGGTATGCACACTCTCATTTTTCATATTCCCTAAGCAGGCTGCTTTGACAAGTGATGATACTGCTTGTCTTTTCTAGACCCCCAATGTTCAGCCTCTGTAAGGTAGGTGTTTGAAGGGGGAGGGATAAACCAATTCTTCTCTTCCTGGAACTGTTAAATAACTGCTCCCCTAAGTCCACCGATTTTACTTTCTTCCCAGAATATGATCTTCATCTTAACAAATGCTTACCATAGCCATTGCCAGGAGCCCCGGGCACAGAGTCGCCATATGGACTCATGGATTTCATTGCAATGCTTTCAGGGTAATCTTCATTCTCTCTCTCAAGGACACCCAAGGGGCCATCACCCCTATGACGAAATGAGGGCCGGATTGAAGATGTTCTGCTGAGCACCCTGAAATCCCAAAAAAAACGGATCAAGATTCACCCAGGAGCATAGGAAGGACTGTCATCCATTCATCATCCATCCATCCATGCATCCATTCATTCATTCCACAAATGCTGACTGAATGCCAACCATGTGTTAGGCAAGGTCTAGGGGGTGAGAACACAAAGATAAAAACACGAGGTGTCTACCCTCAAGGAACTCTCAATCCAATCTGGTAGAGCTTCTTAGACACAGTCAAGCAATTATAATACAAGTAGTAACTGGTGAGTACCTGAAGACAGGCCCAAGGAGTTCAGAGGAAAGAGAAAAGAATTCTGGCAGGCAGTTTGGAGGGAAATCTACATGGAAAAGAAACATTGCAGGTAGGATTGGAAGGATAAATTCATACATAAAGGGGCGCCTGGGTGGCTCAGTCATTGAGCGTCTGCCTTCGGCTCAGGTCATGATCCCAGGGTCCTGGGATCGAGCCCCGCATCAGGCTCCCTGCTCAGCAGGAGGCCTGCTTCTCCCTCTCCCACTCCCCCTGCTTATGTTCCCTCTCTCACTGTCTCTCTCTCTGTCAAATAAATAAATAAAATCTTAAAAAAAAAAATTCATACATAAAGAGTTAGGAGGAGAGCATTCCAAGGATGAAGAACAGCATAAATAAAGGTGTAAGACCATAAACAGGAGTGCTGAATATATAAAGGGAATACTATAAAAATGAATTAACCTGGAGCAATGGTCTCAATTTTATGTACATACCAATTCCCAGTCCCTGCCCCAGACAATGACATCAGAAGCTCTGAAAGTTGGGTCCAGGTATTTGTATTATTTTTATTTATTTTATTTATTTATTTTTTAAAGATTTTATTTATTTATTTGACAGAGAGAGACAGCCAGAGAGAGAACACAAGCAGGGTAAGTGGGAGAGAGAGAAGCAGGCTTCCCGCTGAGCAGGGAACCCGATGCGGGGCTCAATTCCAGGACCCTGGGATCATGACCTGAGCCGAAGGCAGACGCTTTACGACTGAGCCACCCAGGTGCCCTGTGGCATTTGTATTATTTTTAAAGTTCTCCAGGTAATCAGGTGATTCTAAGGTTCAGTCCAGGTCAAGAACCACTGTACTAGAGGTAGGGAGGGTAGATAAGGAAGGTGGGGAGATGGGAGGAAGTCAGTTAGGTGGGTCTTTGGAAACACTTTACATTAGACCAGTGCATCCTACTTCTTAATTGTTATCAGGGCGCCTGGGTGGCTCAGATGGTTAAGCGTCTGCCTTCGGCTCAGGTCATGATCCCAGGGTCCTGGGATCGAGTCCCACATCGGGCTCCCAGCTCAGTGGGGAGCCTGCTTCTCCCTCTGACCCTCTCCCCTCTCATGCTGCTTCTCTCTCGCTTGCTCTCTAAAAAATAAATAAATAAATAAAATCTTAAAAGAAAATGTTATCATAAGCAAAGCAGTGTGGTCTTTCTTCCAAAGGTTATGGAGAACCATGGAAGATCAAAAACCAAGGAGTGAGGGGCGCCTGGGTGGCTCAGTCATTAAGCGTCTGCTTTCAGCTCAGGTCATGATCCCAGGGTCCTGGGATCGAGCCCCGCATCGGGCTCCCTGCTCGGCGGGAAGCCTGCTTCTCCCTCTCCCACTCCCCCTGCTTGTGTTCCCTCTCTCGCTGTGTCTCTCTCTGTCAAAATATAAATAAATTCTTCAAAAAAAAAAAAACAAAAAACAAGGAGTGAGAGAATCAAAGGTATATTTTGAAATGATGAATCAGGCAGAGGGGGTAAGGCCAAGGAGGCCATTTTGATCTGGTTCTGTCAATCCTCCTCTTTAGGTTCTGAAGACATTTGACCCTACCGCACACCCAAATCTTATATCCTTATTCCTCAAGATAAATACAAGCCATTAGCTTTTGTTGGATTTATACATATTAGTAGTAGAACTAGTACATGCCAAATGAGACTCATATTGGTTAAATTTTCACAGGGTAAAATTTTTTATAGATTAAAAATAACCTGACTAAAGAATCACGTCTTGTTGACAATAGGAACATCAAAAACTTACCCCAGAAAAAAATCAGATTTGGTAGAACTAAGTCATCCAAACTAACACTGTCAATGTCCAGTATTGTACTTAGTAAAATTTGTCAATGACCAAAAATTGCTGGAAAATTAAAAAGATTTTGGACAAAATTTAGATCTACAAAATCTGAACTAGGAAAAACTGGACTTAGTTTTTTAGAATGAACTTAAAGGAATACCAACAATGGGGGAAACTATGATTGATAAAATCTGATGACTACAACAACAATGTAGAAGATCAATAAGCTAAACCTGCCATAAACATGAAAAGTGGTCAATTCAGATGACAATAATTATAGTAAAATAAAAGTGAAAGTGGAAAGAAATCAGGAGTGGTTCAACCACCTTGAATGAAAAAAAAAAAAAACAATTGAGGAATTAAGTTGAGTTCATGGAGTTAGATCTTCAAAAGATTTTCTTGGTTAAAAATGCATTCCTGTGGGGCGCCTGGGTGGCTCAGTTGGTTAAGTGACTGCCTTCGGCTCAGGTCATGATCCTGGAGTCCCTGGATCGAGTCCCGCATCGGGCTCCCTGCTCAGCAGGGAGTCTGCTTCTCCCTCCGACCCTCCCCCCTCTTATGTGCTCTCTCTCAAATAAATAAAATCTTTAAAAAATAAATTAATTAATTTAAAAAAATGCATTCCTGTGGATATAATTCTGGTTAAAATGTTTGAGTTCATAACTATCAAGTCTTAACCCTAACTTTATTGGCAAAGTAGCAGGGTCAAAACAATGGGAATCTAAATGTCTTGTAGGGATTATAGGAAGAGGTAGGAGACTGGGGAGGGTGCTATCCAAGCAAGAGGTGATGAAAGATTATGTTCAGGTAAGGGCTTGAAAGTTCAGACTGAAAGTCCATGGCCCAGGTGAGGTCTACGGTAGGTATGAAAGTTTCCTACAACTTCAGGTCACAGAAACCATCTTACGCGTCCCTAACCCAAACAACACCAACCAGGTTCCACTGGCTTGATGAATTATCATTCAGCCCCCCCCCCCCCGCCCCCCATAGGACGGAGATGCTTGCGCTTACTCTCTGGTCATTTCTGAAGTCTCAGAAGAGCCATAATCATGACCATTCTCAGCAACTGGGTAATCAGGCTTCCCCCAAAAGTCTGGAGAGTTCTGATAGTCCTCAGCATTGGGATAGTCTGGTTCCCCAAAAAAGTTTGGAGAGTTAAGTTGATTCTCAGCTCCTGGATAATCAGGCTCACCCAGAGTGTCCATGTATGGATTGATTCTGGAACCAACATATTCTGGATTCCTTCTGGTACCGGGATGGTTGGAATTTGCCCTGGAGCCAGGATGATTAGAGTTTCCCTGAGCTCCAGGGTAGTCTGGTTCTCCCAAAGAGTCGAGATAACCGGGATTTGTTCTGGAGCCTGCATAGTTTCCACTGCTTCTGGAACCTGCAAAATCAAAATTCCATTGGGATTCAGAGTAGTCTGGCTCTCTGGATGAGCCTGGATGGTATGGTTTGCTCCAAGATCCAATATAATCTGGCTCTGCCAAAGATATGGGATAATCTGAACTTCTTCTGGAGCCAACAGAGAATGAGTTGCTTCTGGTGCCAGACTGGTCTGGATGACTCCGAGATCCAGGATAATCTGGTTCTGCTAGAGACCCAGGATAGTCTGGACCTGTTCTGTAGTCTGCAGAGTATGGGTTGCTCCTGGTGCTAGGGTAGCCTGAGTTGTTCAGAGCATCTGGAGAATCTGGATAATCCTGAGTTTTCAAATGCCCCCACATACGGTTCCGAGATCCTGAATAGTCAGGGTAATCTGGATCTTCCTCATACCCATTATTCCTGTAGTAGGCAGACATGCTGGCACAGATTCTTCACCCTGGAGTGTTAAAATGTTCCTGCATTTGAGTTACTCAGGGATCTTTTTTTAATCTGAAAAACAAAAAGAAGGAAACATTCATATTTTTTTCTTCCCTGCCGAGACTGCTGGTTATCTTCCATTATCTATTCTCCTTTCTTTCACAGTTGGGTGCACAGCTGCCCAGAATCAGAAGTATGCTTCCCAGTCTCCTGTGCACCAAGATGTGACCAGGAGAGTGGACAATGGGTTGTGAGCAGAAGCAATAAATAGAACTCCCAGGTTTGTGCTGTTCAAGGCAAGGGGCATTTCTCCCCTTCTTGATCTTCTTACCTACCTCCTGTGGGCTGGAATGTGGAAATGATAGTGTGCCCTCTTGGTCCATGGACACAAAGGCGGCACCTACCCTAGAGATCACAGCACAACAGATGGAAGAAGCCTGGGTTGCTGATGACATCACAGATCAGTGTCAACATATCAGCTTGGGCTTTTATGTAAAAAAAATAAAATAAAGGGGCGCCTGGGTGGCTCAGTCGTTAAGCGTCTGCCTTCGGCTCAGGTCATGATCCCAGGGTCCAGGGATCGAGCCCCGCATCGGGCTCCCTGCTCGGCGGGAAGCCTGCTTCTCCCTCTCCCACTCCCCCTGCTTGTGTTCCCTCTCTCGCTGTGTCTCTCTCTCTCAAATAAATAAATAAAATCTTAAAAAAATAATAATAAATAAAATAAAATAAAACTTTATCTTCATAAACCACTGTTTTGGGGGGGTCTCTGATACATGTGGCCAAACTTAGATCCTAACCACTACATTCCTTTGGTTGTAGGAGAAGCAGAACAAAAAAACCAAAAGACTGGAAGAAACAAGGACCCTTTGAGCACTTTGAATGCACTTGTGGTTGTAGGATTGATCAAAGCATAAATTAGTATGAGTGTGCAAAGGAAGAACAGTTGATGGTAACTAGAGGAATTGGGTAAGAAGACAAATGCTACCACTCCTTCCTGTTTGAAGATATGATTTTGTGAGTTCTCTGAGCTCTAATCTATAGACATGGTATACTTTCCAAATCAGAAAAAATGGGATTTTAATTTCTAAGTGTGCTGGATATCTGTTGCTTTTACTAGCCTATTATTCATTTCCCCTTCTTTTGGCATCAACGCCCTGATTTTCATCTCGCATCTGCCCCTGCCCATTCCTGACTCCAAGAACTGCCACATGACCCAGGCCTAGCCAATCAGTGTCCACTATGCCCCTGGCCACAGGGTTTGGCTCAGGAATGGGCACATAACCCATATTGGTCCTCCAGGACCAAATTAACTGAGAAAGACGCACTCTTAGGTCACTAGGTGGCCATGGTGATGGAATGTGAGCCTGGAACTGCTAGTATAGTGACCATAGAAACAGAGAAGAAAATAAGTAGGGGAGAAAACAGAAAGGAAAAATCAACAGGATTTGTGGACTGACCAGATACTGGAAGGCTGAAAGGTAAATCAAAAGACAAAAATAGCTCCACAGTTTCAAGCCAGCCTGATTAGGTAGTGTTGATGTAATTGAAAGCAGGAAGTATACCATTTTTAAAGTTCAGCCAATGCTGACAAGTTTATCTCTATGCAAACGAAAAGGGTTAGACTCTTTGTTGAGTAATCAGAGCTGAAGAATTAACTGTAGTCTTAGAATGTTCATTTGCCAACTCAATTCCCGATTCCTCAGCATAGTGGAAGTCGGCTGTTTATTATTTTGTCCCTGCTCAGCATCCATTTCTCTCTTTTGTGATAATACTTCTCCTTAAGTAATACCTCTTCCCCATCTCAGTCCATATGGGCCACATGTGGACATATAACCCGAGTGGAATTCTTTTCTTTCTGGCCACGGTGATTGGGTCAGGGTACATAACCCAGTCAGAGCCAGTGAGATTCAATTATGGAAGTTTTGTAAGAAATGTTGGGAAGAAAGAAGCTCTCTCTCGTGGCTGGACTTGAGGTTAGGGAGTTGTAAGACTGAAGCTGCCAGTGGTCACCAGTGGAGGAGGCCAGTCTGAGAGTGATGTCAACAGGGAAGAGATGAGTCAAGAGATAAACCGAAAGATCAAATACTGATGACAGTGTTCTAGCACCTGAATCCAGCCATGCCTGAAGACAGCTGATCACTGGATACCTGAATCATTACATTCCCTTTAGACTTAAGTTAGTTTAAGTTGGGTTTCTGTCATTTGCAGATGAAAGAGAAGAATTCTGACTGATACATCCAGTTTTGCAAACAGAAACATCTACACGCAAGTGCACACGCAGAAACATCTACACAAACTGTGTCATGAAGACCAAATGCTATGTGATAATGCAAATTATTTGCTTATATTTAAGACTACAAGTTAATATATTTATGATCTAGGATTTCCGTGGCCTACCAAAACCCCAGCTATCCCATCTAAAAAGCTAACTGATGCCTTCTAAATTCAAGAGAGTGAAACCTGGTACAACAATACAACCTAAGAGAAATGAGTGCATCCACCAAAAGGCAATAAGAGCATTCACAGCAGCTTTTTTTCCATAAATGCCAGAAACTGGAAACAACCAAATGTCCTTCAACAGCAGAAGTCAATAAACTGTAGCATATTCATACAATAGAAACACTACACAGAAGTAACAAAGACTGACCATCTGCTAGATGCAAGGACAGGGATGCAGCTCCCAAATGTAACAATGACTCTAAGAGTCAGATAGGAAAGTGTACAGACTGAATAACATTTACACCAAGTTCAAGAACAGAAAAACTAGTAAATGGTGCTAAAAGTCAGAATAGTGATCACCTTGGGGAAGGGAGGGGTCAGGAAATGACATGAGGGGGCATCTGGGTGCTGGAATGTTCCATATCTTGATCTGGGTGATGGTTACATAGGTGTGTGTGTGTGGTATACGTGTGTGTTTGTGTGAAAATTCATCAAATACACTTGAGAATTACGCACATCTCTGTAAATATATTTGTCCTTAATATTAAAAAGAAAAGGAGGGGTGCCTGGGTGGCTCAGTTGTTAAGCGTCTGCCTTCGGCTCAGGTCATGATCCCAGGGTCCTGGGATCGAGCCCTGCATCGGGCTCCCTGCTCTGCGGAGAGCCTGCTTCTCCCTCTCCCACTCCCCCTGCTTGTGTTCCCTCTCTCGCTGTCTCTCTCTGTCAAATGAATAAATAAAATCTTAAAATAAATAAATAAAAAGAAAAGGAAAGGAAAATGAAAAAGACCTAAACTGGAAGCCATAACACAAAACCCTCTATTTCCCCCAAGGGGCTATGAAAAAAAAAAAAGAAGAAGGGTTCTGGCTTACAAATATCCCCATTTTTCTTTTTTCTTCCCTGCTCAGCAGGAAGCCTGCTTCTCCTTCTCCGCTCTCCCTGCTTGTGTTCCCTCTCTCGCTGTGTCTCTCTCTCAAATAAATAATAAATAGTATTTTAAAATCAAAGTGGCGGGGTGCCTGGGTGGCTCCGTCGTTGGGCGTCTGCCTTCGGCTCAGGTCATGATCCCAGGGTCCTGGGATCGAGTTCCGCATTGGGCTCCCTGCTCAGCGGAAAGCCTGCTTCTCCCTCTCTCACTCCCCCTGCTTGTGTTCCCTCTCTTGTTTTGTTTCTGTCAAATAAATAAATAAAATCTTAATCAATCAATCAATCAATCAATCAATCAAAGTGGCTAGGAGCCCAGCCCTTGGCATCAGGTATAATGGGATTTAGTTTCCCTCTGCTCCTGTGGGGACATGGGAAAGCCACTTAACCTCTCTGAGTCTGTTTCCTGGCCCATCCAATCCTAACAATAATATCTCATACGGCTATTGTAAAGAATGAACAAGATAAGGCACATAAAGCAGTTGGCACCGAGGAAGCAGGAAGCATTCACTGAAAAGAAGCTATTATTTACCATTATTTGTATTTATGTGTAATATAAACGCTGGCAAGTTCCAAAAGAGAAGGAAGTTGGTAGATAATAAAAGTCCTGCACTCAACCAGGACACGATTAAAAAATAGACAATGTTTCTGGGATGCCTGAGTGGCTCAGTCAGTTAAGCAGCTGTCTTCAGCTCGGGCCATGATCCCAGGGTCCTGGGATTGAGTCCCGCATCGGGCTCCTTGCTTCCTGGAGAGCCTGCTTCTCCTTCTGCTTGCCTCTCTTCCTTCCCTCCTTCCCTCTCTCTCTCTTTCTGACAAATAAATAAGTAAAATCTTTAAAAATAAATAAATAAATAATAAAAAATAGACAATGTTTTATAATAGAGGGAGGAGCAATTCTGCATAATTCCGAGATTGACGTAGTGAGTCTACCTGAGAATTAAATTTTGCTGTGAGCTTCTTATTAGTCCAGACTGAAAGGGAATCATGAAAGGCTATCTAATACTCACTACCTGTGAAAAAGAGGAAGTATACCAGTTCTTCAAGAGGGCCACACTTCTTCCCAGGATGAATTTCTTAAAAGAATATATCATAAGAATGTTTCCAAAGGGATTGGATAACCACACAATAAAGCCAGGATTCAGGGTCACTGCAAAAAGCTCAGAAGCTCTAGCAAATCCAGAACAAGCTGCGAGAGTAGAAGGGGGAGGAGACACTGGAGTCCCCTCCAGGTCACTGTGAGATCAGCTGGCTATTTCTGGCCAAAGGTTTGTGAGCCTAAGTGACAATATCACTTCCAAGCCAAAGCATTTAAGAGCCAAAACACAACCTTCTAGCTCCATTTTTCTTCCTGCAATGGCAGCGAGTGTCATTTCAGATGGGGACCCGTTCATAAGCCTGGGTTCCTGCCTGACTATATAGAGTACAGCCCACCTCCACCAATGCACGATAGCTTCTCATGAGCAAGAAATAAATTTTATGATTAAACCATATGTTCTATATTCATAGGAGATAGATTTTATATGTGATCAGCCAACAATTAGTTCCAAGTTTGTTGGTTCAGTTCTCTATTCCACTGATATCATCTGACAGGAGCTTATCATCTTTATCACATCTTTATCACAGCCCAGACCCGAACGGTGCTCTCACCACTACCACCCACACTGGGACAAATTCCTAAACAAACCAAGAGCTAAGCCCACAGAAAA